TCCACCCGACCAGTCCCTTCATCATCATAGAGGTCGAAAAAGTATTGGATGTTGTTCATGATGTCGCGGGGCCCTTTAAGTCTTGCAAGGCCATTGACTACATTTTGCAAGCTCAAACCTTCGTCAGGGTCCGTTGCCCATTTGCGGAAAAGTCGTCGTGTGAACTCATGATCTGCTGGTTCGGGTTTATTATTCCACAATGAAGAGGATTTGCCCCAGCCCCTCAGACTGTTGAAGCCCTGATCGGCTGACTCCTTTCGCGAAGGGGGCGAGTCTGCCACTGCCCATTTCGCTGTGGCTGCGAGAAATTCCCGGAAAGCGTTGTAATCCATGTGAGTGGGACTAGGACCAAGACCAACACGGCCTACCTCTCTATCCACTGGAGGCCCAAGGATCGATGTCCTTTCAACCAGTTTCTTTTCCTGGCGCCTCTTTTCCTCGTCCAAGAGTTTCTGCCTCTGCTGATGGTCATAGAGAACCTCGTAGTAACGGTCGTAGATGACGCCCAGATCATCCATGCTCAGCTTCTTACTGTCTGGACCGAGATTGCGGATGGATGTCCGTTTGGCGAAACTTTCAATGTTCTCCAGGACGGCATCCTTGTGCTTTTCACGCTGTTCCGTAACCGTCTGGTGAGTGATCTGGGAAAATTCTTTAAAGGCGACAACCATAAGCTCCTGGAACCGTGTGATGGCCCTCAGCTTGGGATTCTCAGACCTCGGATGGGCCGATTCATCGAGACGCGAGAAGTATGCCTTGAGGACGGAGATAAAGGAACCATCATCCTGGATATCCAAAAGTTCCTCACCATTGATCCGAAGGATGGCCAAGCCAACCTGGAAGAGAACCTTAGGACCCTCGAGGAAAAACACATCCAGTACACGGAAGGCGAAAACTAATGGCATGGAGTTGATGTAAAGGGAGAGGAACCATGGGAGGGAAACAACGGAGAGCTGCACATCAGATTTCGTGAGGTGGTCCCAAAGCACGGGCATGGTTTTCTCGACCAGAGACTCAAACACTTTTTGATCGAGCAATGTGCCATACATTGTCGTGGAGTAGTACCCTGGAAGGAGACGATCGCAAAGCACAGACAACAAGAAGAAAGCCTGTGCCTCCGACATGTAACTGCAAGGGTCAGCTTCATTTCCTAAATTGGTACTGGGAAACCCACATCAAGAGAGCCGCAACGACTATGTTCATGGCCTGACAGTATCCGATCTCCGCGTTGGTCCAACTGTAGGCAGTGAGGACCCTCCGAAGGCGACCGATACCTTCCTCGCTCTGGAAACCAGCATACTCAGGCAAGCTGCGGTTTAGGTCTTTCTCGATCTCGTCAATCGCCAAAGACTCCTGGCCAGAGAACTTTGAGAGTGTCTCTGTATACAATTTAGGAGATCTCAGACGAAGGTAGAGCGAACCCGACGTCACCTCCCAGATCTCGCCGCGAAGACGATTGGGAAGACCGACTCGAATCAACTTATGGAAGGTCGGCTGACGAATGATAGTGGCATTGCGGCCATTCTCTACAAGAATACTTAACAAGCGTCCCAACATATAGAACTGGGGCTGGGCTGCATACCTCTAAAATATTCTCCCCATAGTCTCATCTTACTTCGATCCCGCAGCTTGCGAGCATCACCGGGATAACGGAATATCATTCCCAGCCCGGCATCAGGTGGCTGACGCTGTTCAGTAGTCTCCCCGTTTTGGGCTTTAGATTTAGCACCAGACAGTAAGTATTCCGAGTAACAATCGTTTACGACTATGCGCAAGTTCTCAATCTCCTTCATGCATTCGCGCAGCCCCTTCTTCAACCCGTCGCAAAAGCGTTCGCAGGCCTGCCTGCTTCCAGCCAGCTGGATCGTGAATCTTTGCGGAACGAAGTCGGGGCTTTGCTTCCCCAGCGCACCATTCCATGTTGTCAATGCAAGGGAGAAGACATGGCTAAGACTGTTGAGCCGTTCCACCCTCCGGATGCAGCAGAGAGGGATAGTAAATCCGTTTCCAGAAGGTCCTGTGCCGTTGGTTTGACCAGCCCAATGGGTCGATGCCCCAAGGCTAGCAGATGGCGTAAAGCTCGTCGGCTGGGTCGAGAAACAGATGAACCGTTCGCTCAGATGGAGTCTGCCGGCATAGCGGTTCCCAGCGCGCTCAACAAAAGGGCGATTGGATTCTCCGTGAGACGGTGATGAGGTATGAGGAATAGGAAGGATGAGCTCTGCGGTGATCTCTTGCAGCGGGTTTTGGGAATCGGGGAGGCGGAACTGCTGGCGAAACAGGGAGGCTTTGGACGGGTTGCGGTCGGAGGAGGTCAGGGTAGGAAGAGTGAAGTTCGCCGGGTCGATGAAGGACTGGGCTTTCTGAACGAATGACGTCCACTGCATCATGGCGCCCGGGAAGCTTGGTGCGGTGGCGTGAAATGAATGAGCAGGCAGGTATCCTCCTGCGTCTAGGGTGAGTATCCGGCTGACGGCCGATTCGGACGGAAGCGGGAGCTGCTGGAGCTCAAGCGGCAGTCAGGGTTCGGCGAGAAAGATGCACAGAAGCCCACGAATGATTCGCAAGAGGGATCAGGGTCATCGTAGAGAGCTAGCGCAGCATCGTCCGGCGAGGGCTTCTGGCTGCGACAGACAGAAGAACCTGGGGCGATGACGGTTGGCATGGTAGGAAGAGGAGGGGAAGGTTGGCGGCGGCCGTTCCTGGCAGGTGGCCGTGAATATCCTCACGTGACAGGGATCTGTCTTGCTCTGAAACACCACGAGGCAGCCCCAGTGCAGCTACGTGAACCCCTGCTTTAGGTGTTACTGGTGATGCATGGTGCATAAGTGCTTTCGCTACGGAACAACTTATAACCATATTGGAACTACATAAAGAAACTAGTGGAGTCTGACTAGTAGCTTGGTACAGCCGACAGGGAAAAGCCGAGAGTGAACTATAAATCCCTGCAGAACACGATGAACGAAGTTTGAAAAGGAATTTTGAGAGGAAAGGAAATTGAAACGAAAGTTCGCTTTATAGAAACACATTGAATGAAACAACAAAAATCCGGGAAATGTATTTGTTTTCATAAAAGTGCCCGAATATTTGGTCAAATCCATATTTTGATAGGAAAGGTCAAGGACAGTGCAGTATCTTGATTTGCAGTAGGAAGAGGCAAAAGAGAGCAAGTACTATTATTGTGGATCGAATCAGTTCTTAGCCGAAGATACTTCCTCAGCCACGGCCTCTTCATCACTGTATGCCGGTGGGAGTTCTTCGGACTCCATCATCAGACCTTGCTTTTCAGACACCGTACCCTGTTCCAAGGACTTCTTGGGAGTAGAGCGGCGGAAACGTTGCCACATGAAGACCACGATCTGGCCGACCAGCATACCAAGGGCGCTCGCGGCCAGACCTGCCAAAACACCCAGCACAGCGGGAACCACGATGAAACGGACCACGCGGTGGACGGTGCGTTCCCACTTGCCATGGTGCATGTGGTGCATGTGGTGGTGATGGTGGGGGCGGTCAAACTTGTCCATGTGGCCGTGGAATTCAGCCTCCTCTCCCTCCATGGGCGGCATGGGCGGTATGCGCTCAGGGTCGAACTTGTCATCGGGATGGTGGTGATGGTGATGGTGAGGGCGGGGCGGAGGAGGGAAGTCCAAGCCGTGAGGACCACCGCAGTGCGAGCCCTTCGGCTTGGGTCCCATTCCAAGCATACGGGCCTTGGCCGCTGCGAACAAGGCGCGCATGCGGTCGAACAACAGCTTCCTGAGACACTTCGGCTTTCCGCGGCATTGTTTCCAGGAGACGCGGTCGGGGGTCGCTTCTTCGATCTCAGTCTTGGCGATGTACAGCTCGCCGCTGCTAGGGTCATGGAGAAGAGTCAAAGCCACCGTATCCAAGGGGACGGGGCGACTGTCGAGATCGAGGACAGTGAAGCGCACAGCGACCAAATCCATAGGGTCCTCAGGCGGAGTGGGCAAAGGCATTTCCTCCACAGCATATCCCAACGGAATGGGTTCCGTCTCTACGCCATCCGACGTCCGGCGCTGAACGGCAGTGATGAGAGTGGGAGGTGGCGGAGGGAAGATTTGGCGACCGTTGGCCAGAAGGAAGCCATTTTCAGTGGAGAAGTCGACCAACTGAAGCGACTGTTAGCATCCATGTCCCTTCACCTGTCCCAAGTCGTACTAGACATCGGCTCAGAACTACTTACCAAAGAGGTCTGGAAACCGTCAGTCCAGCTGACCTTCCCATCCTCACTGACTTCACGGAACGGACATTCGGTGCAGGCAAGCTCAACCTGTTCCTTCTTGGGAGCATAAACCTCCAAAGGGTGGAGGGGAGGGAAGTCACCCTCAGGGGCGATGGCTTCTTCGACTTCGGGGATAACAAGGAAGGCGTTGGCGCCGAGAGCGAGAACGCTCCCCACAAGGCACGAACGGAGGTGCATGGTGGCCGAGGCGGATCTAAGCCAGGCACCGATAAGACGGGTGAAGAGGCGCTATAGACTAAGAACGGTGGAATGAAGAAACGTTTCGTGATGGGAAGAAGAGTACTTGAGATGAAAAACGGATGATATTCAGCTGTAAAAATAAGAAACAGATGATGGGGGGAATGCTTTGATGATATGGATTCCACCAGCGAGCACTTCTTGCATAGCCAGCCAGGAGGGGGTTCAAAGGCGAATCGCGCATCGTTCGATTTCTTTCCTGATTGGCTGTTGATGGCGCGCGGGTGGAGCAGGTGACGCATGAAATCCCCACCGCCTGCTTCTTTGGGAGCAGCTGACGCATCCGCTGCAAAATATCCATCACGTGCTCTGAATTTCCTAAAATAGCCTTGAATCCCATTTATTTCATGGTGGTTGATCATCACAACAAGTACTTTGTACACATCAGCTATCATGTATATGGTAGAACAGACACGAGACATAGATAGAAAATCCTGAAATGTAACTGCACACCCGCTCCATACCAGCAGACCGGGTTCACCGACCATGGAAACTTCCCTCATCCCACCAGGCGAGATCTGATATCGACGAATTTGGCAAACTCGTAATCCAAGCCCTGCATCGACCCTACAACAGGGGGTTTGCTGCCACGGACTTTAGCCAAGACACCCTCAGGTACCTCATTATATTGCATCCAGATATCCTGCGTTTCATTCGTCCGTCCGAATAAATTTTCAACCATAGCCGTCACAACTATAAAAACTCCCAGCAAGACTAAAGCCCACCGTGCCATTATGACAGCGGGTGGCATCGGTACTTGCTCTGGGGCACTGACCTGAGGTTCGAAGTACTCCGGCACAGTTTCAAACTCTAACTTCGACTCCGACCCTGTGCTCTCAGTCTGATCATCTTCATATGCACCAGGGACTGAAAAGTTGGCAAACTTCTTTCGCGTCGTTCGAAAGGGTGGCACCGTCAATGGAGTCGACGGGTTATATCTCTTTTCCAGATATACTGGCCATTGGTAATTCGGTGTACGTGTCAGGAATCTTTTCGGCTTTTCTTTGGGCTTTGACCCTTTTGGCTGCTTGACGCCAGTGACTATGGCCTTGGGCTGAGCCTTTGAAGGATCATTCGCTGCCTGTGCAGCAGCCTTCTGATAATCTTGAATCCAGCTGCTCTGAGAGTTCGAAATTTGATTTCCAAAGCTTGTATTGCCTTGCGCGGTCAGGGCTTGGACAGTTCTCTTGAAAACGTCCAGTTGTTCTTGCTGACTCTGGTTCTGATTAGTCGCCTCCTGCAACGTCTGCAAGTACTTCTGGAAAACAGCCAAAAATGAGTTGTCTGGGTTGGACCCAAGCTTTTGCTGATCAGCAGCAACGCGCAGCTTTTTGATCGCCTCTTCCGAACCATCAAAGCCCTGCAAAGCTTCCAATCCAGGAAAAGGTCGCTTTAAAGTGGTGCTAGGGACAAGGGCTTGTCCCACATGCGGTATCGCACCGGTTTTAGCTGCCTGCTGGATATTGCTCCAGTCCACAGGAACAGCCTCAATAGATGGTTTCTGATTCTGAGCAGGGATCACTGGCGCGCTGAAATTGCTGCCTATGCTGCCTCTCTGGTCCACCGGTGACAGAGCTCCGCTACTTGCAGCACTTTGCGATCCACTATATAAGCTACCTCCCAATTCCTGCCTCAGTGTCAGAGATGGATTCTGGAGGCTGAAGCCGAAGGGGTTATTCGTAATCAGCTTGTTCTGGGTGGAAGGAATCAGTGCGGTATTCATCGCACTTGTAGGCTGTGCAACAGTATGTAGTGCCATCGCAGGTTCAATTGTATGCACCTGCTCCGCAAGCCTGTTCAATTGCTTCCTTAACTCAGTATCGTTCCCTTTGTATTTATTTACTGTCTTAGCAAGCTGCCCCATCTCCAGTTTTTGCGCTGCCAATTCTGATTCCTTTAAGTCAAGCTTCTGCTTGATTTCATTCAATTCTCGACTCGCGTCAAGTATCTGCTGCTGCAATCTTTCAATCTCACCACTGCGGGATGTCTCTTCTTCCTTGAGCTTCTTATAGTCTTGGCGAATGCGACGGATCTGCTCAGCCTGCGCATTATTTTTCGCATTAAGCATAGTATTTGCTCTCTCTGCGGCTTGTACATGCTCCTCGTTCTTCTTGATTTGGATTTCAACGGCTTTTAGATCCCTTTGGGTCCGTCGCAGCTCTTGCTCTGATTGCGCGAAGGCCTGTTCTCGCTCAACAAGCACCTGGTTCAGATCATGGACTTGGTTTGTTAGCTGCTTGTTTTCCCTGTCGAGCTCTAAGGCCTTGTGTTGTGCTTCTGTGAGTTGCTGGGCTATGTTGTCATCGTCCTGCGGCCATTCTTCTAAGTCGTTTTCGGGAGCTGTTACCTGCTTATGTGCCCCGAAAGGTATCCTCCGTTGGTTGGGTGGTCGTCTGCCTGACATGTTGGTAGATATGCGGAGTTGGGAGTAAGGGGAGTATTTGATGCTGATTTATTATCCAGAAGTAAAAGTGTCTTTGCTTATGTCGGATGTGATTTCATTTATTCAAGGACGCAATCTCGTTGGGGGTTTAACGATACAGAAGGTAATAGATCGCTTTTCAATCTTTTATTTGTCTTGGACATCAATGTAGGCTACCGGCATACTAATAAGCGAGCCCATCGTTCGATTTATGCGTTAGGCACTTTTTCAGCAGTTCGGTTCTAATTCATTGCGCTGAAAGGTTCTGAACCAAGGCATTGTCCTGAATTCGTATATAGTCTTTGTTATTTATCCTTATGAGACATAGAACCTAAGTACTAAAAGAGTCAGAGCACACCGAGAATTGAACTGTGCCTTTGTCCCTCTCATAAAGGCTTCTTTATCTAAGCGTAGTATGAGCTAACTCGGAGAACAAAAAGTACCCTCTATGAGATATAAATACCCAAGACATCTTCTACCCTGTACAGAAACATGAAAACGCGCCTCTACAGCTTAGACTTCTTCTGGCCTTTGACGTTGGGGACGGCGTCGCCAGAAAGAAGGAAATCGGGATACGCAAGTTTCCCGAAGGTTGCCCCAGTGGCCGACATCCGCCAGGATGCACCATCCACTATATTGTGTTAATACATTATTTATTATAAATTTGAATAGTACGAGACTCACCCACTAAAGTTTGGCCACTGACGTAGCTGCCAGTGTCCGCAAAAAGATAAACGGTGGCATCCGAAATATCGCGTACAGAGCCGACTCGGCCTAGCGGCTGCGACTTGATGTAAGCGTCCTTCGTATCACTGGGAAGGAGGCGATCGAGGCCCTATGATCATGAGTCAGATGTGCATATTCATATGATATGCGGGACAAAGACAAACCTCTGTCGAAGCAATGGGTCCGGGTGCAATGATATTGGAAGTGACGCCCAGAGGGCCAAACTCAATAGCCACACTGTGAGACAGCGCATCGACGCCTGCCTTGGCGACTGAGACGTGCGTCTGGAAAGGTGCCGTCCGATAGTGGAGAGTGGCACTAACAAAGATGATGCGCCCTCCAGTGCCTGCTGCAGAGGGTTTGACTGATGATGGTATGACGTTAGCGCTTGTCGCGACTATTCGCGATACTGTCCACTTACGAGTTTCGGAGTCCACTCTGTGCTTCTTGGCCGACTCAACAAGGTATGGAATAGTAGCTTTGAGCGTGTTGTAGGATCCCAAAACGTCGATGTCAATGACCGATTTGAAAGCATTCGCTGACAGCTGGTTGATCGAGGCTAGAAAGTTCCCGGCTGCTCCAGCACTTGACAGTTATAGCCCAGATTAGTAGAGAACTAGCCAGGACGATGTGATACACACATGACATAGTCTATGCCACCCAGCTCCTTGACACAGCGGTCCGCCGCAGCTTGGAGACTCTCCAATTTTCGTACATCCACTGCACCAATGCCAATGACCTTGGCACCAGGACGAGCGGTTGCAATGTCCTGGGCTGCTTTCTCGGTCTTTTCGACATTTCTACCGATAATGCAAGCGTCGGCACCTAGATGAACCAGAGCACGAACCTGCGCACTGCAAATGGTTCCTGCGCCTCCTGTGCAGAAGACAACCTTGTTGGCTGTTGGCTGTCAGTGACCGCCGGAGCATGTGGTGGCCGCCATAGGCCGACTTACTGAACAGGCCATCCTTCCACGTGTTACTTAGATAGGATTCTTTGGGGAGGGGCATTTTAAAGAATATCAGTATAGTGTATATACAGTATGGAAGTAAAGAACGGTCTTGTCTGGTGCAATTGTCAAGGTTACCCTGATAGTTGATATAGAGGAAGGACTCCGGGGTGGCCGTTGAATGGAATCTCCGCAACCCGACGGTTACTCCGAGTCCAAGCCTCGGCTTCTGGGTTTGGAATACTAATCTGGTCTAAACTATATGCGGAAAGTTTGTCTTCGATGGATCCACTCTTGGTGTCTCCTTTAGGCTTAGTTTCATGGAAGACATGAGCTCGAAGAGCTAACTGGAATAGGCCTAGTTCCAAATGCGTCTCGGAATCTAACAGCGAGCTGGTGATTGGCTGACTGGACTGCGCTAGCCTCAGGCATGCAACAACGTCACTCCATCTGCCATCGCGAACTTTTCTATGGCCTTATCTGTGCACCCGCCTCGAAGTTCTGAGCGCACCACGCCTCTAATCAACGAATCGTTCTTTCAGACGCATCGAGAAGTGATATTACGTCCTCCTCGGGTGAAAAGAAGCTTTCACAACCAGCTCCCCTCTAGTAGTGGCAGCGTTCCTGTTGCATAGTCATGGCGTGTCCCATCACCGTCTCGAAGTTCGTGGGCACAGTGTCCCTGGGGCTGCTCACGGTACGATCTCTATAACCTGCTTGGTTTATTTGTGTTGCGAAGATCTCTGAGTCTTCGTCAGCTAGACCTCGTAAAATCTGACCAGCCGCCAACTGACGCGCAATCTATCACCTCTAGGGCATGTCATACTCCGCTTCGAGCGTCGCCATCCCCTCCCTGAGTCTTCTTCCGACTGCCAGCACTGCCTCCCGGTCTCTCAATGAAGTCAAGCGGTTGAGCCGTAAGCATGGTCTGCGACTGACCAACATTGCCAACGGATGTTTCCTGTTCGCGTATTGCCTCTCTTCTAGACAGCGCAAGCACCCATATCTCATCTGGGTGTGTGTCACCTCCACCGTTGGCTCTTATGCTTTCGACTATTTGTTCCACCGCCAGGATGGTTTCGTGGCCTGGATTCAGTCTGTTCTGCAGGACACCGGATGCGGCTTCCTGACCGTCCAGAAGCAAAAGAAAGAAGAGGATATCGTGGTGGTCGAGGCAGAGGAGAATGTCAATGGTGAAAGTGTACAGAAGGAGATGAACACGGAGCGTCGATTCCAGCAGGTGCGGGCTGTCTTCTCTGGCATTGCCCTCGCCATGGGTATCGTTGGGCTTTGGGGCGACCGTCGGCCTTCCATTTAATTTGGACCAACTGGGTGTCGAATGTGGTGTGCATGATGAGTCCTGCAGGGGCTTCATTTTCTCCACTCCCCTCCCTCTGGTTTACTTCTATCTTCTCTTTCTGTCTTAACACTTTTGGTCAAATGTTCACGACCGCCACGATGAGTCTGCTGTATGTATACTGGGCCGGAGATTGCCTAGTGTCCTTTCTATCTTTGATGATGAGCGTTCAATTTGGATCGGAGTTTGAGAGCTATCTACCTGTCTGATTAATCAAGAAATAACAATTCATCACGTGAAGTATCAAAGCTACCCCAGACAGATACAACATGAGACTTAAATGAACCACAATAATACTACAGACAACCTGAAAACTATTACCATTACTATTATACACCAAATCGATCAACACATAACAACCCCCATAATCAACCCCAACACAACCCACCCCATAACCCCAGCTCTATACCCCCTACTCCCCATACTCCCACTACTCTCATCCCCTCCGCTTCCACTCCCACTTTCGCTCACTTGACTCTCATTCACCCAAGGCTGCCCCGGCAAAGAATCGTTACTCTCCCTCAACTGCTCCCACCCCACCCACTCATTCTCCAAAACCCCACAGTCCACTCTCTCCTCACTCTCATCAATCGCATTCGTCACCGAAATCGGCAACTCAAACACCGTATAATAATCTGTCCCCTCCCACCGGAAACTCTGATGCACGGAGACATTATAGTCACCCCGGGGTGCCTTATCCCCGCCGCTGCCCACAAAACATGCCGGCCAGATCCAGTTCACGTGCTTGACGGTGGACGAGGGCTCGAGATCCAGCACGGGCCCCACGTAGGTGTTGTTGCTGCTGGGAGTGGTGCCGTTGGAGATGGTGAGGTTTTTGTGGGTCGTTGTGGAGGTTAGGAAAAGGGTGAGGGTGTGAAATTTGGTGGTGGTGGATGTGGTGGAGAGTTGGCCGTCGCCGGACGTGTCGATGGCGACTTGGAGGGTATCTGGATTTTTTATTTTAGTGTTGGTGGGTTGGGTAGGATGGATGGATAATGGTTGGACGTACCTCCTCCGAGGGGAGTATAGGGCTGTGGAGCATCGATGATGGCTAGGCCTGGGGTGTAGATTTGGCCGTTGACGATGGTGAAGTTCATGGTTTGTGTACTAGTTGGTTGGGCGTTAATTTGTGAGGGATTTTCTGACAGCTACATTTTCAGGATCTTCTTGTCTTGCATCGGTTTATTTAAAAAGGCAGCAGACAGTCAGTCCCTAATGGACCCTGAAATTGATTTAATTTCCGAACCTCCGGGCGACCCCCTCAGGGACTGATTGCTTTGCTCGCTCCCCACTTGTCTGTCAGACACCATCGGATTTAACCGAAATGAACGCCTAGTGGGGGTTTCTAGGGACAAGAGGATAATATCGTTATATTGAGTATCTTAATTTGTGTGCTCTTGGTGGTCTCAGTTATATACTGTATCTCCTGTCTACAAACCATGGAGGTACTGCTAGCGTAATAAATGGCGATACTATCTTCAGGTTCACCACCTGACACAGCAAATGCAGACACATAGCAGCCTACATAAAAACCGGTTGAATCTTTCCTGCTGCACGGTCGGCCAGCCTCTCCGGGATCATAACCTCATATACATGCTGCGCCCATGCGCAACACACCCGCCGAGTATCCTTCGGGTCAATGATCTCCTCAACGCCAAACGCATTCGCCGTCCGCACCGGATTCATCAGCCTTCGATACTCCTCTTCTAGCTCCTTATATCGGGCTTCCTTCTGTCCTACTTTCTCTGCCTCGCGCAGCTCGTGGCGATGTGCGACCTCAATCCCGCCTTCCAATGGTAAGGACCCCCATTGACCGGACGGCCAAGCGACTTGCATGACCGGGTCGCGCGCTCCGAGCATAAGACCTCCAGCCACGCCATAGGCTCGTCGCGTAATTACATTGAATAAGGGAATCGTCGTAGTGAAATACGTCTTGCCTAATTCTACTCCCCAGCGCATAGTGGCGGTTCGTTCTGCAACGGTGCCGATAGCATAGCCCGCTACATCGTATATCATCAGCGGAGAGTGTCTTGGAAGGGAAGTACAGGCCGTATCACTTACGAACGTCAATAAACTGCAAAACCGGCAGATTCATCACATCACAGAGCTTCAGTAACCGCGCAAGCTTCTGGCTCCCGGCTGCATCCAGAGCTCCCCCGTTCACCTCACAGTTGAGCGATATCACGCCCACCGGCCGCCCTCCCAGGCGCGCCAGACCCCCGATAGCAGTGCGACCCCAGAGCGCACCAATCTCGAACCATGACCCCTTGTCCACGACGCTGGTGATAATAGTCCACGGATTGTACATGCGCGTCTGCCGCCGAGGGATAATCCGGCGCAGCGACTCATCCTCGCGGTCTTCTGGATCGTCAGCGGCAATGACTGGCGGTGCCTCCCGGCCAGTGTTGGGCAAATAGCTCAGTACGGTGCGCAGCTGCTCATAACACTCAGCTTCATTGGTGGCTAGATTGTCGATGGTTCCATTCGTGCAGTGAATCATTGGGCCACCTAGAGTTTGAAAGTCCAGACCTTCCTCAAACGTGGCTCCCTTGACTACTTCTGGGCCTGCGTTGAAGAGCGATCCAACATCCGCTGCCATGACGGAGAAATGGCAGGACACTACTCGCGCAGCTCCCAGTCCGATCTATACACTATTGTCAGCTGAAACATCCGAACACTCGAAGATGAATGAATGATGGATTGGATACATACAGCCGGCCCCACCACAGCCCCCAAATTCGGAATCCCCTGATTCAGCTGCTCAACAACGTGCCTATACATTGACACATACGGCAAATAACTCCAACCAGCCGTGCGAATAGTAGTAACACTGCCTCCTCCAGAGCTCCCATCCACCAACTTGACAACCGGCAACCTCAGCGCCAATGCCAGCTTCTCCAGATAGATCGTTTTACCATGCGAAGCTCCATCCGCATGTCCACTCCGGAGAGTGAAATCATCCGCTGTTAGAAGAACCCTTCGACCACGCAATTTCCCCGCTCCCTGGACATTATTACTCGGGGTAAAAGAAACGGGCTTCTCGCGCATAGGTCCTGTTTTCTCCCATGTTACAGTGCCCGAGAGCGAGCCGATTTCTTGGAAACTATCGGGATCTAGGAGTTGTTCAAGGCGTTCGCGAACCCATAGCTTCCCGGCTTGCTTTTGGCGGATATAGCCTCTGCGAGATGAGTCGGGGGTGGAGGCTAGTGTGCGAAGAGTGTTGATGTGGGAGAGGACGTCGGAGTAGTCGGGAGGTAGGTGTGAGGAGAGTTGGCGGAGTCGTTTGGTTGCTTGTCGTGACTGCGCATCGTCTTTGGGGTTTTTGTCGTTTTTGTCGGACATGATGTGGTTCGATTAATTATGTTCTATTCATGTCATATTGTGCGGTGGTTGAGCCTATTTTCAATTGCAGATTCCCCTTGCATGTTACTGCAGCGGGTTGTCCCTCATGAGGGGTAAGCTCATATCTATGAGCGCAACGTCTCTTAATTCCGAGGTCCGAGGAATGCAACCAACCCCATCATCCATACATACATACAAAAGTCAATCCAATTTATCTATCTATGCATTCGAATCCATACACCTTTCACAACAAGATACCATACTATAATGACATCGTCTAAACCCTTCCGACGACTTCTAGTCGCCAACAGGTACGCCATCGCCCAATCTCCACATTACCTCATAAACTGACAATGAAACAGAGGTGAAATCGCCGTCCGCATCATTCAAGCCGCTCGCGAGCTCTCCTCACCCATAGAAGTATACGCCATCTATACCGAGGATGACACCTCGCACTGCGACACAGCCCACCCGGATCATGCTCTCCTCATCCCATCAGTGGCAACCTACCTCGACATCCCCTTCCTAGTGCGTCTAGCTCAGGACAATGCCATCGACGCCATCCACCCAGGCTACGGCTTCCTAAGCGAAAGCGCGGACTTCGCTGCCCGCATGCAAGACGCCGGAATCACCGTAATAGGGCCCGGCAGCTCAGTATTATCTCGCACGGGAGACAAGCTCCAAGCGAAGCAACTAGCCGTGGAGTGCGACGTTCCCGTCTTGCCGGCGATGGCGCAGCCGACGGCAGATGTTGCGGAGGTGCGGGAATTTGTGAAGCAGGTGCAGTATCCTGTTATGGTGAAGGCCGTGGATGGGGGTGGGGGACGGGGGATTCGGCTTGTGTATGGGGATGAGGGGTTGGAGGGTGCGGTGAGGGGTGCGGTTAACGAGTCGCCGTCGGGGACGGTGTTTGTGGAAAAGGCGGCTGTGAAGGGGTGTCGACATGTAGAGGTGCAGATTATTGGGGACGGGGTGGAGGTGAGGCATCTGTGGGAGAGGGATTGCAGTGTACAGAGGCGGTTTCAGAAGGTGGTTGAGATTGCGCCGTCATTGATTGGGGATCGGGGGCTAGTGCAGAGGGTGGTGGATGCTGCTGTGAGGATGGGGAGGGCTACAAGGTATAGGTCGCTGGGGACGGTGGAGTTTTTGGTGAATGAGGGGAGTGGGGAGTTTTATTTTTTGGAGATTAACCCCAGAATACAGGTTGAACATACGGTTACTGAAGAGCTTATGAGGGTGGATCTTGTGCAGGCTCAGTTAAAACTGGCGATGGGGTATACGTTTGCACAGCTTGGGCTTGGGGATGTGGGGTTGGATACTCCTAAGGCTTGTGCTATTCAGCTCCGGTTGTGTGCGGAAGATCCGAGCAATCAGTTTGCCCTGAGTGTAGGGAAGGTGACTGAGATGGTTGTTCCAAGTGGCCGTGGTGTGAGAGTCGATACCCATATTCGTGCTGCTGGGGCGAACCCTGTTGTGGTAGGAGCGCAGTTGGACAATTTACTCGCTAAAATCATTGTCACTGCATCTACTTGGGAGGGAGCAGTCCTCAAAGCCCGGCGAGTGCTTGCAGACACTACAGTGGCTGGTGTCCGGACTAACTTGGAATTGCTGAGAGGGGTTGTTGCTCAGGAAGACTTCCTTTCTGGAAGGATAGACACACAATGGCTGGAGTCCAGTCTGGACCAGGTGCTCCAGCAGGGAGCAAGTGTCTCACGATCAGTCCGTACTCAGGGACCTGTGCAGGGACAGCGTCCCACTGCGTCGCCTAGTGTGCCTTCTTCGAATCTTCTATTTCGACGAGGAGATGCATGGTCAATCAGCCTCACGCCAGTAGAGGCATCTCAGCAGTCACAGCAACATCGCCTCCAACTCACACGCGTGCTGCGGAATGACTTTCCGACTTCGCTTGCAGCCGATATCGAGTATCAGACGCCCAGTTCTTCCGGTGCCTATCGACTAGAACTGGCTGCCACCTCGACCACAGCATCTGCCCTCTTTTCATCCGCTCATAGACGCGGGGATATAAGTAATCCACGACACATTGTCCTTCCTTTATCTGGAAAGTTAATTGAAGTGCTTGTGTCTTCGGGGGATCATGTCGCTGAGAATCAGGTGATAGCGTTTATAAAGCAGATGAAGATGGAGGTGGAGGTGCGCAGTCCGCGCGCAGGGCAAGCACAATGGGTATATGAGATGGAAGATGAAGAAGAGGATGTGGCAGAAGGGATGCTGTTGGTGGAGTTGACTGACGGGTTGCAAGGGAAGCTCTAGGATAAACAGTGCGGGAAGTGTTACTGGAGCCAGCAGGCGTCAAGTAAGGATTCGGATATGATGCAAAGATACTATATAAGTCTCTCAGGCATTGTTCAAGGATTATACAGAGTATTGTTGCCATTATGTTGTGCAGTGTTTGGTGGCGGTGATGAGGGTGGTGATAGTTCGATGTAGCAGATGATCTCATTCCCCGGCAACGGATCCACTGATCGTCACATGTCCACCTCACCAGCTCTGCAAGATCTCTCAATCTCAACCTTTGCTTTCTCTCATTTCGCATTATACGGTCGGCCTTCTCTGTTCACTCTTGGACATCTCATGAAACAAGACCAACCCCACTGAAACACGCTCACACAATGGATTCGCTTTTACTCTATATCCTCACCTTCAATTGCGCTCGAAACCCCGTCGACGTCGACCGCTTCTCCCGCCATTTCTTCGATGCCTTACCCCGCACCGAGGGTTCCAGCTCGCCCGCAGCCCCGGAGTTCATCGTGCTCTCCCTGCAGGAAATAGCTCCTATCGCCTATGCCTTTCTCGGAGGCTCGTTCCTAACGCCATACTTCTCAGCTCTGACACAGGTGGTGGATCGCGCAGTTGCCCAGTACTGGGATGTCCATTACGTCAACCTGGTCACCGACAATTCCGGGATGACGGGTCTGATGGTCTTTGCTCGGTCGGATGTCGCTGACCAAGTCTCATCCATTGACACCGCCCGTGTAGGATTTGGCGTCCAACAGATGGGGAATAAGGGTGCCGTGGGCGCACGGATTGCCTACAGAGGCGCAGCATCGGCCGGGGATCCTTTGGACCTCACTTTTGCTGCTGCGCACCTCGCCCCCATGGAGTACGCTGTCGAGCGGAGGAATGAAGACTGGCGCAGCTTGGTCGAGCGGTTGGTCTTCAGCTACTCACCTGCTGCAGGTCGGGAAATCCCCGACACAGCCAACGCGGAGGAAAATGCGCCCCTGCTGCGGCAATCCCAAGAAGGCCATCGGGGCATCTACACGCCTACAAGCTACCTCTTCCTAGCGGGTGACCTCAATTACCGTACCTCCAACGTATCGCCGCGACCAGACGACCATAGCCGATTCCCGCGAGCGGATGTAGACCCTTCGGACCCTCAGCACTACTCACATCTCTTGAAACAAGATCAGCTTTCCCGCGAGATGGAACAGTCTCGGTGTTTCCACGGACTCTCCGAAGCCCCGATCACATTCCCCCCAACATACAAGTATACGTTGGCGGCACGTCAGGCAGCAAGTGATCCAATGGCAGATAATGCACGCCCAGATTGGAAGTGGACGAGGACCCGCTGGCCCAGTTGGTGCGACCGTGTGTTGTATCTGGATTCTCCACCGGGCACAAGCAAGAGAGGTCAGGTCAAACCTCTGAAGTATGATGCTCTGCCGTTATTCCCAACCTCCGACCATCGCGCCGTCGCCTTGGCCGTATCTATACCGGCACAGTCCGTGCGCCTAGAAGATGCGACACAGACGGCTGTCCCTTTCCCGATCGATCCAGAATGGGAGACTAAACGAGATGCCGCGCGAAGGAAGGAACTTGCGGTGGGCTTTTTGGCGTACCTGGCCTTGACCTGGGAAGGAAACGGGCTGTTACTTGCATCGGCTGTAGGACTTCTGGGGGCGTGGCTCGTGCTCCGATCGTTCTTTAACGTTTGAAGATGCGTTGCAGAGCTGCAGCTCTGCGGAGTTTTCCTGAAACTGTGCCCCATGTGGATCATCCCGATCTCCGGTAGCAGACGCAAACTCAATACGAACGGGTGATTTTCCTGGATCTTCATGGGCTATTTCGGGTTTCACCATCAAATGATGGTAACATTTTGACCGCCGCTGAATAATCTGGCCACAAGGTCGTTCGGCGCAAGATAACTCACATCCTTGTCCATCTGAGACGGCAACACCGCATTCAAGGCGACATCGTATTGGATCCATACCTGCAGTGGGACCCAGCAAGCTATAACATTGGGTTTGCCTCTGCACCGGGTCAGCTGACTGGGAGCCGGATCTAGAACGGTCGGGAACGAAGCCCAAGGAACGTGGAAAGAGAAGGGCCGGCGCGGACGAAGAGGCTCAAAGCAGATCGACAATCTAGACACCCAATTTCTTCCAAAGGAGTGAAGGATTTCTGGGCGGGGGTTGGTAAATAGTTGCGAGGTGTATAAGCCACGCTGCATGCTTCCTCTGCTTTGGGATTCCGTTCTGGGATTCCCAAATTCGAGCCGGCGACACAACCTAGTAGTGCCTGGAGACGATGGAGCCGTTACAGAAGAAAGTTTGGCCCCGGTTAGATCGGGTCACTGACCGTCTGACGGGCTTGGGTCGTATCTAGCCTTGCGACCCAGTCAGTGGGTATTGATTCCTTCCAGATGGGCAGGCATCTAGACTCGTCTACTAGTCGATGGCTTGCCGTCCAGGCAAAGTGGGAGCAATTGCACGGTTGGTCGATCATCAAGGCCAAGCTGAAGACCTGCTTCGGTTATATAGGATAGATTGATCGCTAGATAGATAGATAAATATCTAATACATAATATTTAATTAGAAGGGAGGAATTTTTGCAAAAGCGGGCCAGTCCCGAGGTAATTAAGGCAATGGAGAAACAAGGGCGAAAGGCAAAATAGCTAATGAGAGGGATGGACGGGCTGCCCGCTCCATGGAAGCGAAGCAGGTGAGACCACCAATAAGGACGCTAAAGAAAGGGTTTTTCCTGCGTACTATTTGGTTACTAGTTAGAGATGGTAAGAGATGGATGCATTTCTGAGTGGGAGGAAGAGAGAGGGTCCGCTCTTTTACTCACTGGTGAAACCATTTAGTGTCTGCCGCACAGCTTTGTCCGACCGAATTCGGTTACAGCGGCATAGTGGTAGTCTGGTGATGATGAAGATGGTGACGATGCTGGGTTTTAATATACACTTGATATTAATCTGAGCTGCAAGGTTTAATATATTGAATGAGTGGTAATTTGCTACTCATTAATGGGAATTAATGGACGGTAATTTGCTGCTGGAGATGTCCACACTGAGTTAGTATTATCATACGGTGATTTCATGGTCTGGGTCTGGGATAGTAATTATTTGGGTCAAATCGATAGTATAGAAATCAAGCGAATTATCACGGGCTTCGCCAAGAGTATGCTTCGGCCCCGGCAGGAAAGTGATGGCACTGTTCACCACTATCATTTGATTGTGTGAGATATTGGATTGACCTTTTACTTGCCGGATGGCGGCAGGAAGGACAGACACATGCAAGTACACACCGGGTCATAGAATTATTGATTAGTAGTATATCACGGTCAACGGAGTTGATGGTACTCCGTTAAGATCCGGTTAGTCCTACCGAGTGCACAAAAATGAGGCAGTGGTAAGTAGAGCATCAATGAGTAGTCACCAATACCCAATTGGAAGTATAGGGTGAATCTAGAGCAACATTCTAGTACCTACTACTCTCTGTACGAAAGTAGAGATAGCCAATGCGACCATCCGTGTAGCGTACAAGCACATGATCCTTTGCAGGTCAAGTGACCACTATAGATCAAGTTTCCCGATGCTTCCATCTTCCCCTCCTCATACAATTCATCCCTCCCGCGTCTTACTTCCCACATCGATGGATGCCGTGCTCAGCCATGCACCAGCCCTCGGCCGTACCGCACAATGATGGTCCAGGTCTGGACCCTCCGGCCCGGGATGTCTGGGTCGGCCCTGGAACAGAACTCTCTGGCGCTCGTTGTGATTACCTACTGTCAGGTTCGCTGAAACCGATGGCTGGGCACGGCATTTCTACGCAGGCGGACCAATTGCGGAAGCCTGGGAACAACCCAGGCTCACCTGACAGGATTCCCTTGGGTCTGCCAGCTTCACCTTGTCCACTACTGGATCAAAGCAGCACATGCTGGACGGATCCTGACCGCGATGGCCATGGACGAGGCTGAATTGCGGATCGTATTCCTTTTGCACTAGACTGCTGAACTGAACCGGCTGGCTGCTTCTGAGACAAATAATGCCCTGCCTCAGCTAGGCTGTGGGAAAGCCAGGCTTTACGGATTTACCGTTCACGGCTTTGCGGCAGGCATCAATCAGGCCTCCCCCCACTTTTGCCAACCCGGTGGTGCGGAACCTAGTGACTCCCACTTGACTCTTACCGAGACTACCTTTTAACTAAACCTGGAAAAAAATAATAAGAGGTCCGAATAAGAGAGGCGAACAGGCAGAATGTATTGGAAAAGCAATAATGATCATCACAAAACAAGGCAATTGAGGGATGATCAACAGAGGTAACACAACGGAAGACAAGGATGCGACCAGGGAAGAAGCGGAGGCCGTTCGGTGTCATCCAGACTCTACTCAGGTTGTCTTCTGACTCACCCGATTGAAGTAACAATGAATGCCATGGATCAAGGCAATGCCAGGGTGAGAACAAAGACCAGACAGTAACACCGCCCTTTCATTGGTCACTTCACCCGTGTCTTCCGACAGCTGACTGCGCACTAAAGAGGGCAAAAGGGGTGAGACTGAGAGAAGAGGGGGCCAACTCCGAAAGGGGCAAAGGGGGAGAGAAGGGAAACACACAGAGAAAAGGAGAAGAAGCTCAGTCGACGTTCCAGAAACTGTGGAAACTTTCTTGGTGCGACGGTTCGGGCCCAAGATCCAGACTCTGCTGCTACGGCTCTATTACCCTCATCTATTCGAAACTCCATGGGCTGCTACGATGCCGGCTGTTGGTACCAGTGGGTCTCCCAATTATTATCTGCTTCTCTATCTTAAGCGACCAGGTCAACAACACCAGCTGCACTGCGATGCATGGTTGAGTCGTGAAAATCACTTTTTTGACAGGGCCCACGCCGCCCTGCAATCAAGTCATCCATCCTCCACCCACCCAGGGGCCATAACTGCGAGTCATATGGGCGATCAGGCTGTTACATGGGGGCAGACTGTATGGTAGGTTCGGGAACAAGAAAAGGGAAAATAAAATAAAATAAAAAAAAAGAAAAGAAAAATTTTTTTTCTTCCCTTTCCCCTTCGCTCTTTTGCCCCCCTCCCTATTCCCCATTCTGGATCACCTTCGAACAGCCAGCCGGGAAAACACAGAGTCCACTGTTGGGCATTCGAAGAACCAATGGCCCGTTGGGAGTCCATCGACATCACAGGGAGCAAAATAATCTATGCCAAGGCCAGCAGTCGGTGATGCCCAGGATGACAAGCGAAGGCTGGCACTGTGGTACACTCAAATTACGAATGCTGGGATAGATGATGGTGATTCCCGGCGTGTATGATTTGTTTATTAGTATCCATCATCGCCACCATTGTTACCAGCACCACAAGGTAGTAATCATTGACCATACACAGTCGGGTATCTAGACAAGTCTGGTTCCAATTCGAGGGCTGCATCAGAACAATATACACACGGGCTCCATCTTGCCCCGTCCCGTGGCCCGTTGGATGCCATGGTACCCCAAAATTAATATTTGATTTTGCCTATTACGATCATTTGCATAGCTTGTTATATTATTTGATGATTTTTTTTTTCTCTTTCCGAATTTATTATCACTAATACTCGCCCGTTCTTCGACGACCCTTTACCCCGATCTTCCTGGAAGCCGTTTCGCATAGATCTCCATTACTGATATAAATCTGAGATCCCTCAAATTTACCTCCTTTTCCTCTTAGGTTCCCTCGACGTTCCATCCCATTTCCCTCCGTGTGATAATTGACCGTTGATCGATCGATTTATCTGCCCTGCACTCCTTTTGACATTCATTCCTTTTGCTAGTCAACTGCTGCACACTGTTGCACTTTTGTGTCTCTCTTCGCCCCATCCACCACCCACTTTAGTGGCGCAGCCTAACCTCAGCGCTAGAACCTCAACGGACCCCGGCCGGTGCGCCTAAATACGCTTCCTTTTTTTCGCTCCCCCTGCTGGTGCCGCTGCAAGACAACGGCCTTGCGATCTTGACGTAATTGCCCCGTGGCTTGCGATTGGGGCTATTTTGAATTTTTTTTTTAACCCTCCCCTCTGTCTCTCCTTCATTACTATTCATTGTCTCCGGTGCTTTTGACACTTCTTTTTTTTATTGTACTTTTTCCCCCTTCCTGCTCCGCTCCGAGACAGCAAGCCTCAGCCCTAGAAAAGCTCCCTTGACGGGATTTATCTTCTTCACTCGAACCACGACTGCCACCAAAACACCTGCGCATTTCTCAACTTTCCCCCCACAAAAAAAAATCGCCATGTTCTCTTGCGCCAATTATCCTCGCGGTTGCCGCGGTCGCGTCAACATCCAGGGAGGCAAATGCTCTGACTGTGTGGTAAGTCGTCAGCCCTAAACCGGACCTCCGCATTTCACTCGCATTCTACGAGACACCCAACACTAACATGGAGAACCACAGCAATTGAAGCTGCGTCGGCCTCTTTCATCATCTCCCTTTGCCCAGCCCCGAGACTACCGGAGAGCCCTTCCATCGGAGATCCTCAACGATTCACCATTCAAGGAGATCGAGCGCTCCCTATGACGACACGGCTACGATCCCATGGCGCTTTAAAATAGGACGGGTGCAGAGATCCCAAAAGATCACTGCAGATTTCCAGGGGTCCTGCCGGCTGGGACCGAACCCAGGGAATTTTTGAGCCTATCTCGCCTCCTCTTCGCTTCGCTTCTCGCTTACCATATGCGGCTTGATGCTCTGACTTGATGCATTGCTGGGAGTTTAATCGATCATCTATTATACCATGGAAGGGCGGCTTTATCGATTTTATTTATCCTGGCGGTCTGGCACTGTTCCACTCTCGCCCTCCATTCTTCCCCGTCTTTTTTTTCGCCAGGCAACTGCATAGCGCGGGAAGGGTGGGGGCGCGGTCGAGTAGGCTGGTGTACATGTGGGTTTGCTTTTTATTTAATCACAGGAACGGCATTTGGTTATCTATATTTTATTAATGGGCTACTGGGTGGATTGCCCGGAAGGGACCGTTGGTGAGAGAAGAGAGAGGAAGAGAGAGACAGCGAGCTGCCTTGACTTGACAGTCCAGAATCGCCGACAGCAGGAACGCGCACACACCGCTGGGAATCATTCAACAGTGGACGCAGGGGGTGCAGGCTGGATCTCTTTCTCTTTCTCTCGCCCGGTCATTCTTCTATTCTTCTTTTCCCTCTTCCTTTCTCCTCCTTCCTCGCTTTCGATACCGTCTTTGTCTGGTTCCCACACCTCCGTGTACCATTTTCTTTGTCATGTCATGTGTGCTCTGTAATATCGTTGGTCGATTTCCATACCCATTCGGCTAATTGTACGATTTATTATCCTCATTCAAAACAAAAAATCGAATAATGCATTTGCCCTAGGTATTCAAGTTTCTTTCTTATTTCATTCAATTTTGGTCTTCTTTGGTTACCGCGAAGGAAGAAGGGAAAAAGCAACAGGCGATGAAAGAACTTCTAAGTAAAATAGGATGATCGGCTGACACTAGTGAACCGTTCACTTTACTCCTCCTTCACAACTCCGGACTCCGGGCATGTAGTAAGTAATGCCTGCAGACCGTTGTCGATCCTTGGTTCTTGCTTTTTTTTTGTTGCCTTTCCCCTCTTCTTCGATGTGACATCTGGAGAGGAAGGAGAAGGAGGGCTTGAGGGCTTTGGGGGCCAGACCCCTGCAGAGCGCGGATCCCGGATGTCATCGCTTCCCGGCTTACATGTGCCGGGCTGTCATACTTTCCATTCTTCTACTAATCACTAAGTTCGAAGTAATTAGCTACTTAGTTATCTGCTTAGTTCCCTACCATCATGTGTCGCTCATTACACACCTGTCGGTGGATGTGTGCACGGTGACTCGAACAGACTGTGATTGACTGACTGACGTATGCCGGCCCCAGCCTTCCCGAAATGAAGAATAACGCGTCCCTTGCCTACTGGATTTAATCTGGATGGGTGGGTTGGATAAGGGTGTGGCGTCGTCATCGTCATCATCATCATCATAGCGCGGGAAGATTAGCGGCTCCTCTCCCCTCCCTCAGCTACGATAGGGATCCGTGCCAGTCTTTGTTGCTGTTGATATATTATGGTGATGTGGCTCGGCTTTTGCATCCGATCTTACTATTCTTTTTAGTAGATTAGTTATCTACTATCCCGTAGTTAGTGGTGTCTTTGTATCTCTGTTACCGGGACATTCATGGTGTGTACTAGATATATATTTTCCACGTGAAGGGAACATGATGGTGATTATGTAGTTGCTACTAAGTTAGACCACATAATCTACGAGTGCTACTAATATCATCTCTCTCTATGATTGAATCGATCGCGGGTTCCACCAATGACAACTGAGTAGTATTCTGCCCGGTACTAAGTAAGTAGTATGACCGGATGGTCCAGGCGATTATCTACTAGTACCTCCAGGAACATCACATACGGTACCTCACTCGTGTGGTTAGTACAGGTAGGGGAGAAAACAGGTCGGAATGGAAATAGTATGTGTCGTCAATACTGAGCACCTACATGTAGCTGTATGCTATGCGCTACTCGATGGCGTTGGCTACCAAAGGCCGGGCATTGTTTTACTTATACTTTATTAATGAAACTAGTAAAGGGACTGAACTGACGGAATATACTGATTTCCCAGGTCTACACTATAGGTGACAACCATGTCGTCCCTCGGTCTTGCTATGGATATAACCCATAGGGAGAGGCTTCGAGATTGTAATCCTCCTAAGCTTCCTACAGCAGCCATTGCATCTCACTGCAGAACTACTAACATCAGGCTGTAATTGTGATGGTAATGATAGGGAAGGTGCAAGTGCAACCAACGTGCATACTTTTAGCAGGAACCCGTGCCTTCCTTCTGCTCTATCGATATGGATACGCATCTTCTCAGATAACTGCTGCAGATGAAAGCATTACCTATCCGTTTCTATCATCTAACTTTCATACTTCCATCACCGAATACAGTATCCCATTCCAAAAAACACACCCTTCGTTGGTCCTGTATCCACACCATGGAACCCCTGCGAAGATCGCAATCGTCTCGGTCCATGAGAAGAAGCCATCACAGCTCCCAATCGACCGAGCCCTTCGACCCAGAGCTGGCTAGGTTTCAAGCTACCACAGCTGCGTCTCGAGCCATGCTGCGATCCAAGTGCTCCTATGATGTTCTCGGGGGTCCAAGCAAAATGGCAGTGCCTCAGAGGCAACATCGACCTGCAGGTGCTGCATTAAATGCTACAAATGCTCCGGCTAAGGATGTAGATCTTCGTCGGTCTGTGCTCGACAAGACGAGCGATCTATCTCCGCCAGCTGGTCTACCGTCTATCAGGGAGTTTGGAGGGCTCGATGCCGGAATCGCTACTTTGCCTTCTTCCTATCGGCGACTCCGCAAGACCCGATCGATGTTCACGAATTGGCAGCGCTCTTCCCATGTATCTCGTGGACTGTCCTCGCCTGGATGTCCGACCCTTAATATATCGACAAAGAGAGAACCACAGGATGTTCTCCGAGCTCCTGGCACGCTGAGGCGCTCCATGTCATTCTTCCGGGGGGATACCCGAGATTCTGATGCTCTACGATATGCTAAGGGTCAGGACGCAGCGAGTGATATGGCACACAATCACTACCAGCAGCCGGAAGACTATCTGACCAAGCCCAGGAAATCATCACTAACAGTCCCTAAATCAAGGCCTTTTAAGAAAACACTTCGTTCAGTGGTGTTAGAGGCAGAGTCTGCAAGCGTGTCGCCGGCAATACAGCGATCCACGAACGTCATATCCTACGGTAAAGCCAGATCACTGTCATTGTCCCTCAAGAAAGGACTCAAGAAGGTGTTGGGCCTCTCCAGGCCTTCCTCGGCCCGTATATCTCTAAGGAAATCTTCTTCAAATGACCAGCAACGGATACAGGGGTCGCCCTCGACCATATCCGCAAAGCACTCTGATCCCTTAAAGTCTGGTGTCGAGGAAAATGCCTTGACACACTCACCAGGCACCGAGGGGACCGTGATATATACAGGAGTCACGAAATCTGGAAGCTCCGAGAGCCTTGCCACAAGCCGCTCTCGCGTAACAAGCTGGGCGGACTCGACGATAGCAAACACTGTGATAACACATAGAGCAGACGACCACAGCTCTTTGTCTGTTATAGACGAACATGACAGCTCCTTTTTTAAGCCAAACTCATCTGAAGATGTTTCACTGACCACTTGTCGCATTCCAAAGCCTAGCTGTACGATAGACAGTCAGCGCTTGTATTCTGCGCTGATGAAACGCATTGATGGTAACAAGACGGAGAATGCAAGCGAAGAAATTGTCCTTGGCCATGTCAGGGAACATCGCGCGATTCCGACACCTGTTTCCTCAATGTACACTCGCCGCAGTAGGAAGACAATTCGTTTGATCGCCAGCGATGAGTCACTCCAGAGCCCAGGCTCATATACAACAGCTGAGGTGGGCACAGTCACTCCCTGCGAGCCAGCCCAGCGCCAGGCTCAGCGTACCCACAGCCAAAAGCACCTGCAGGACATTCGTTTTGGTTCTGCCAGTCTGGCATCGTCTAAACACACTATCAAGGAGGCTTCTAGAGACGAGACCGGAAACATGGCTATGGGAAGATCTCAAAGCCCAGAGGAAGACGAGGATTCCCCAAGTATGTATTCTCGATCGACTGGCGGAACCTCGCCCAAAACAACGGACCTGAAAATGGGTGAGAGTGATCCTGAAGTTGCGAATGAGCCAGGTGTGGCTACCATATACGCAAGTCAGCGAGCGATCTATAGTTCGCCAAAGCGTAATGCTGGCCAGGGTCCCGATGCGATGCAACGACCGAGTGCGGATTGGCAGCAATGGGTGCGCACGCAAATGGAGCGGATTGAATATCTTACACCCACCAGGCGTCACTATAGAGAAGATGCCCAAATCCAAGACGAAACAGCGGATCTTGCTTATCGAACCCCATCTCGAGAGAGACGAGGCTTCTGGAGTGGATCGCCAGATGAAGATCTGTGGACAACTTGCAAAGTAACAGCCAGAAATAACTTCTCACGTCCATTCAGCCGATCGTCAAGTGTACGCACAACAGTCATTGCCCCAAAGGAGCAAGCAGACACTCTGGCTCCTCCTCCGCCGCCGTCCGACTCGATCCCCCAGGTATTAAGCAGCTCTAGTGGGCGTAGCTTGTTCATTAACCAGGTGGCGACACGGCCAGATGGTATGGCTTTGTCGCCGGTACCTGCACTATTGAATAATAGATATCGGGCTCCAGAGTCTCCAACTCCAAGGAGAGATGCAACGGATAAACCGCGGTGGAGAGCAGGGGGAAGAAGATACGGGAGACAGCCTTCCAGGTTGCTTCCAGAAGCCCAGGATTCGAAGGCCTCCCAAATCAGGTCTTCACGTGCGCCTCAAGAGAATAGAAGATTGACTGATGAGAATGTCCGTGTCGAAAATGGCTATCAAGAGGTCGCTAGTAAGGACTGTCAACTTCAGAACATGTACTCGCCAATCTCGAGTAAACGTATGGTGGAGATGTTCCTGGAAAGTCGCCGTCGACGAATGGGCACCGAAATGTCCGACGGAGCACCATCTAAGGGTGCGTTCATCTAACTATACGCCAGGCATTATAGGATCCGTGTGTCCTGGTGAGAATGGGTTATGTGTATCCTTTCGTTTATCCTTTGGCCATGGCTTACACTCTAATGAATGAGCAAAAACCGACTGTGGCAGATGATGGGACAAAGCTGTCTAGTGATAGTTTGTATGATAGGCATCATATCAAGTCATTGTTCTATTCACTCGCTCCCATGTGTGAGACCCCTACTAACTAAAGACAAATAAGACACAATAACAGTTCAAGTACAGTATACACATTACACCTCACTTTCTAACCACTAGAGCTCCCCCACCAGGGGAAATGATATCAAGATATTACTGCTAAATATGAATAAATATATGGAATACATGCAACTCTTTCATTCTTCCCCTCTTTGTCCATCTCCATCCTCACGCTTACCAACACAACACTTCCTCCCAGCTATATACTTTGACATCACAATAATTACTCCACATAATTAGCCGGAAAGCTCCCCTTCACCCCACGCAACTCCCCCTCCCACCAATCATCCGTACTATCCGTCTTCTTCAGGACACGGATCCGATCTCCCTCCCGGAAAGCCAAATCCCCCGCGCTTTGACCTCCGAAGTCATACAGGGCCGTCACGTAGAGCGCAGTGCTCGAGTTAGCCCGCGGTGGGGGTGGCGGCGGGGGCTTCTTCTTTCCGGCTACTAGGGCACTGACGCCGGGGGAGGTTGCTCTGATGGCGCTGGCTGGTGTTGCTGAAGGCTGGATTCGGCTGAAATAGTCGGCGCGGGCCGCGACGGAGGATGAGGGGCCCGGGGATGGAGTGCGGGCGTGCTCGGTTGCTGAGTAGTAGGACTCCGTGCCTGGGGAAGAGGATGGTTGCGGGGAGAGATGGTAGTTGGAGGGGATGGTGAGGTTGTTGTTAGAAGCTGAAGAGACTAATCGAGGTTTCGTTTCGAAGACTGGGGATGGTTTGGTGTCGAAGGATGGTTTGGGTGGTGGGGGGAGCTTTTTGCTGCTGAAAGCTGTAGCTGTAGCTGTAGCTGCGGCAGAAGGTGAAGTGGGCCGTGGCGGCTTGGGTGGAGGAGTTTCGCTGTTTGAAGGGCGACGGGAGAATGAGGATCCGTTGATTGCTGGGAGACGGCTGGTGATGCGGGAGGTTCGGGATTCCTCGGGGACCTGGGACATTTTCACGGTTTTGCCGTTGACGATGCAGCCGAATGCCTCCACTTCTTGCTGGACGGGGAGGTGGTCGCGTTCCCATTCCTGGATGACTTGCTCCATTGGGGGGGCAGGCGATGGGAATTGCGCCTCCTGGCAGTAGTTGTGTACTACGGTATAGTAGTTGGCTAGCATGGTGTTTTGGATCTCAATCTGCGTGGCGAGCAGACGAGGGAGCAGCGAGAATGCGGCGGCAATCAAAGGTGGTAGACATTCTCGCAAGTGGTCATCCGCTGCGTGGTAGTCCTGCGATCGTTAGAAACGAAACAGAGATGGACTGATGGTAATTGTGCCCGGAATAATGGGCTCGTACCTCGGTTGCTTTGGCAAGGTCACTCTCTGCCTTGGCAAGAGCTGCGTTGTCCCGGTCTGATCGCTTTGTCTTTTTGGCATAGCTGTCTACGCGCCCTTGGTAGCGCTCGAAGTCCAACTAGAATGGGAATAGAATTAGCATGAGATGGTTGCATTGATGGGCGGGTTCCTGAGCGGGAGGCCAGGAACGGGTTTACTATAGGTCCCCGTGCGAGAAAATGCGCACCTTTCGATCATCTCGCTTTTTGATGGTCTTCTTGACTGGGCTTATGAATTCCCTAGCTTGCGACGCTGGTCGGATCATGCGATCATCTATGGCAGCCAGGTCCCCCAGTAGATCCTTTCGAAGGTCTTCATAATGCTCGCGGAGCTTGTTGGTCCGAGCCAAGGTGGCCTCTGGAGTTGGGGCAGGCTGTGGCGCAGAAGAGTCGGAGGAACCGAGAATGGGAGCATATAGACCTTCGAATTCGCTCAGCATTCGATTTTGGTGCGTCAAGAGGGACGACCAAGCATCGCGCCATGCGCTGGTGGAATCGATGATCTGTCGGAATGCGGAAGAGTTGCTGTCAGTTCAAGATACGGAAGGATATCAACAAATCACACCCCGCAGGGAAGTGCACGCTAAAGCATGGTGGATGGGAAAAGAAAAAGATATACATATAGAAATACTTACTCGTCCCAAGATTTTGTCTGCTTCTTCAAAATCCTTGAGGAGAATTGCCACCTGGCTGTCATCGGCCGACCTTTTCATGAGTCGGCCAAACTGCCTTTGCATGGACTGCATGGCGTGCCAATTGAGAGCCCCTCAGTGGAGGGAGGGGGAATGGGGAGGAAGGGAGAAATGCGGAGATTGGGACAGACAGGCGGGGAATTTGGAATTAAGATGGAGAGACGGTCATTGGCGAAGAGGGAGGGAGATTCAGGGAACGAGAAAAAGGGATCGAAAGGGAGTTTCGAGGCAGGAGAGAGAGAGAGAGCAAGCAAGCAAGCAAGCGAGAGGGAATGAAGAGGGAATCGTGGCATTGCTCGAAAAGGACTCATTTTGCCCGTGAGAACTAAGCCAGCCGCGCATGACGCAGCCCCCCAGAGGGGCCGCTGCTACTTTGCTACTTTGCTGCTGTTGCTGCTTCCCCAGCAAAAGGGAAAAAAGAGGGTCTCAAGCGTGTTTCAGCCTTCTGGCTGGATGGGCTGACGCAACGCTATTTTTGTCGCGAATAATGTCTTTCTTCTGGGGTGGGAAAGTGCCTTGTCGATCAGGATCAAATGGATGGATTTCCCTGGTTGATTTCCAGGGAACGGACCAGCTCTGCTAGTCGATGCACTACGCTGACGCTAAGGATATGCCAGATATTGCTACTTTGTATTTGGAAATTCTGATCTGTCTCTGTATGAGATGTAGTATAGTGACTACTATCCCCGACAACCTCCTTAACATGCTACCTATAGCTTGTGCCGCGCGGTCCTCGTAATTAAGGACACCTCCTGGGATGGATTGCGCAATTGTCTCCAGTAAACCAAGTGGTACCGCCAAGGCAGACCCCTTTTGCAGCGAAATGGAAATTATTGATGAAACTGGGAACTTGTCGGTCATGAATGCATTCGCTGACATGCACGTCAAACAATCAATAATGCAGATTGACTAAAACGTAGCCATGCTCCAACACAGTACTTGCCTGAGGCAGATATCCCCGTCCGCGGTTCGTTCCGCCAGTATCACAACTTCTTCCCCGCGCATCGATCAAACAATCTCACGACTCATTCCATCCCTCCCTCATTAGATGGTGATCAGACACAGGGCCACCGATCAAGGGCCCTGTTTCTGTCTCGACCATTCCCCGTCCATACCAAAATGGCCACCCCACGAAGCACCCCGAGCATGAACGTCCCTGCGACCCAAAACACCGCACCTGTGATCCGCTTCCGCTGCCTCTACACCTACGACATGAGACGCAAAGCCAAGCGCTGGCAAGATGGCTTCCTCCGATACCACACCTTCAACAAACGCGTCATGGTATACGATGTCGCCGGTAACTTTGTGGGCGACCACCACTGGCGACAGGACGAAGGGATTCAAGACGGCGACGAACTGGAGCTGGATAACGGGGCCCTGATTGAAGTTTGCGAACCGGTGGAGAAGACGGAGACAGACCTGTCGGGGTTGTATAGTAACAAAAGGAAAGGCCAAGGCTCGCCGTCTCAGCGACCAGGAGGGACGCCAACTCCTACAGCTGTCGTCTATAATTCCTCTACTCCCGCACGACCTTCTCTTTCCTCCCAGCAGAAACCGACCCGGTCACTGAACGATCTCCTGGGTATCAAGAAGACCCCAACACAGCGCGCAGGCTCGCCTCAGACGGGTACCAGACAAAACTATACATTGCCGGTGAATGGGAAAGAGAACGAGCAGGTGGATTATCCTGCGAAACGCAAAAAGACGGAGACCCCATCGGAGAAGGTCGCCCGTCGGCGTGAACCAGCGAGCATCGATTTGACCGGACCAGAGCCAGCAGCACCAGGACCGGAGATATCAAAGAGACGGACAGAGACATCTTTCATTGTATCCTCAAGGACAAGCGACCCAAAGAACCACACTACAACTTCTACCGTCTCCCATCTCAAACCCACAGACCGGTCCAACAATAAACCCCAGCGAAAGCAAACCGCTCCCAATCCTCCTCCTCCCAAACCCCAAGAACAACCCCAAGATCCGAGCCCAGAACCAGTCCCAGAACCAGAACCACCAAAGAACAACGACCCCCCAGCCAACATCCTCCGCCTCCCAAGCAAAACCAAGCCCTCCCGCAAGAAACTCATGTACCACACCATCCTAGCCCAACAGCAACAACAACAAGAACCCCAACAACAGCCACAGCCGCAGCCACAGCCGCAGCCACAGCCAGAGTCAGTATATGCCGGAACCCCAAAGGACGAACAAAACCAAACTGACCATCATCTCATACCAGAAACGACAATTACGATCCCATAGTAGTATCAGATGATGATGATAACCCTCCACCTTCACCCCCTCCGCATCAGCAACACAATACCATCACCATTCCTACAACAACTACACCAAGGGCAGCTCCACCCTTAAAATCCGGAATAGAGCGCAGAACCTCCCTTCAAAAATCCCACTCCGACCCTACTGCCTTTAACCGCTTCAACATGAACACGACCACGACCTTGAACAACAACGACGACGACGACAATTGTCATATTCCCCCGCAACAACATCATAATCACCGTCGCCGAGCTTCAGAGAGCGGTAACAGCCCTCTGAGCAGGACGGATACAGCTGACAATGCCAACAACCATGAAGATGAATCAGAGACCGGTGGCCCGTGGACATGGGAAGCTCAGTATCTGTTTGACTATTGGCCGGCTGGGCGGGCGAAGCCGACTAAGACTTGTTAGTCTTAAATCGTTCGTTTTCTTACTGGTGGTAAATATTTCATGGTCTTTATTATATGATATGATACCCTTAGATAGTTATAGTTGAGAAGAAATTTGAGAATTGAAGTGATGATGGATGATGTCCATGACTTCCGAAGGATGTTGGTAAGCTACTATGCTGGCATTATTTGGTACATGATAAGGCTAGACTTTTTCTCATCATTCGAATTTACTTTCTTTGCAGGTCTTTTGACTATAAATCTACTCGTGGCATAGCATCTATTCGTCTACGAATGGCTAGCGGATTCCCTTAATCTCACACGATCTTCAATTATCTCAGTGCAACAAGGGTGGTTAACCTAGATCATTTTCCCAAAGTAAAGAGACACGCAAGAAACCGACATGGATAGTAACCAATCACTTTGGCCATGCGAAGCTAACCGGATGGATGCAATTGGTCAGACAAAAAGTAAAACCCGCCATCACAGATCGCAACCAATTTGAGCTCAAAGAAAAGGGAAATACAGCTTCGATCGTACACAAGTGCAATCCAGCACAGGTAAATGCACAGTATCTTGTTAGTATAGAGAAGAAAAAGATTGTAGAGAAAAAGAATGAAAAATTTGGCAGTTGGCAATCAAGCCAAGTGTGTAATGAGTGGCCCAAGTTCACAAGGTATTGTTATGCTCACAATTGAGTAATCAACAAAGGAAACATATGGATGGTTTCGTGCGAAACAGCTCGCAAATGAATGACAATAGAAACGATTGGGGCACGGGAGAGGGGAGATGAGGTCAAGCCCCAGGGATTAAAAAGAACTAGAGTATAGAAAGTGGCGGTAGTGAGGAATGTGCCCATCAGGGGTATGCAAACTCGCGGCTAAGCTGATCCAGAAGCTGATTCTGCGCTCATAAACACCAAATGAACATGATGAGGTGCCAAAATATAACTATAATGATAATGCAAAAGAGGCTCATGCAAGTGTTTAACACCATGGGAAGAGGGTAGAGGAAAAATTGCCCGGTAGGCCTAGAGGCCACGGCTCAGTAGATTCTTCTCGATGACGGTCTCAATGATGGGAGTGAATTCGGTTGACACGGGGGCTGTATTTGCTGGTCCTCGACAGCGCGCCGACATCATGTTTGCCTGTTTGAAGTTCATCAGCTGGTTGCCATGATGGTGGTGGGACTACCGAATCTGAGCAATAGGGATCAAAGAACATACCGTCGCAGCAGGCTCGCACATTCTCAAGCCGATCATCCTGCCTTTCCATCATCTGCCGCAGATCCTCCTCGCTATCATGTGTATGAAGGCTTCCTTCATGCATGCTCGAGGTAGCATAGTTAGGACCCTTTCGACCGAAAGAACCCTTGATTGTGGTGTTCAGAATTGTACTAAGACGGGAGGAAGAGCCGTGTCTCTGGTCCGAGTAATGAGACGGCGTACTCAATGCCGGGGAACTACGACCAGGGGTAGCCGCCCGACGAGTTGACAGGATGGACCCTGCACGTTGCTTAGGCCAATTCCGGCTGGTACGACTCCGAGAAGACGAGAATGACAGCCGGGAGGTCTGACGCGACCGTGAGCGGAATCCGGGGTTAAACTCATCGATGTCTTCCAACGAAGCATCACCCTCTTGCTCCTCACCGTTTTCCGTCGAGTTGCGCAACAACAGATATGAGAGAGCATTGAACCAAGTCTCGTGTCTCTGACTAGTAGTCGCAGTGAACCTGATTCGGCGGCCCGGGCTAACTACTTCAAGACTCTTGCAGTGAAGGCCGGGGGGGTAAGGATTGTCATCTGGAACAACTCTGACAGCCTCAATCAGAACACTCTTTGTGCGGAGCTCGCTCTTGCCAGCACTTTGCGGATCTTGCTCGCTCCAGTACAACGTACGGGTGTACGGGTGGAGCCAGAAGTACCGACGATGCCTCGAGTTGGAGATTTCCCCGGACACGGTCTTGCGGGTGTATTTCCACAAGAACTCTCCAATCATAGTCTGTGTGATTGCCTGAATCATTCGTGGATCTGTACCAGCAGCATAACCTTGAGGGCCAAGAGCTGGGTTCGGATGCCCGTTGAACCGTTCTTCAATCTCAGAAGCGAAGGATGACACTGACGATCTCCGCGACACATGGCTCTCGCGCCTCATCTTCATCCGTGACGTTGTTGTTGCGGTTCCAACCTGAAGGTTGGAGTCATTGGGAGTCCGTGGACGCTGAGCTACGTTCGTCCTGTAGGCAGACGCCGGGGCAAGAGGCGGGCCCATCAAGCTTGGAGAAGAGGGGCGTTGATCCAACGATCTCTTCTCGGCTGCCATGATGGCTTCCCTATGATCCATGGGCAAAGGAGGATGGCTCTGGATACTAGAAGTCTGGCTAACGGCACTTCCAGGCCTCTTGTGGGACGGGAGAGACGTTGCGGAGGGTTGGTGAGTCGGGCGAGTCCTTGCCTTCGGAGTGGCAAAGGGAGAGGAGTTCTGTTCCTTGGCCTTGTCGCTGTCTGGAGGAGACAATGGCCGCGCGACAATACGATCCATCAGAATCTGATCGATTTGCTTCGACGACAGAATCGTCTGGGCACCCTGGTCTGCTCGGCTGGAGGACGAATGCTTCCGGGCGTGACGTGGGACAGCGTTCCCGGAAATGGCACTCAAGGGGAGCGAGTCATCCAACTTGATGTTGGCAGCACTGTTGACTGTACTATCGTCGATAGTATCTTCTGAAACCACGAGCGAAGGCGGTTCCATTATTGAGCTGCTATTAAGCGCCTTTTCGTTGGACTCGGGAGCCACATTCTCGTCGGGGAAGTTGAGCACGGGAATTGCAGGTGGCGGGGGAGTGGATTTGACGGGCAGGGTTTCCACGGAGCTGACACTGGACAGTGACACCTGTGACACCAGAGGGACTGGCAGTTCAGGCACCTGTGCTGGAATAGGCTCGGTGCATTGGAAGGCCGTAGAAGAGATGGCAAGGCTAGGGAGCGCTGGCTGGGGTGCAACGGCATCAACAGGCTCTGTCTGTTGAGAAGAAATAGAAGAAACCACAAGCTCAACCTTGGGTACCATTTGCTCCTCCACGGCGACTACAGGGGTGATTTCCCTCGGTTCTGGAATAGCCGCTGCCGGCTGTGTCTGCTGAGCAACAATGGAAGATAGCGCAATCTCCGGGCATTCTGCTTGCTCCACGTATGCTACCGCGGCTTCGGGGATTGGCGCCTCGGGCTCCAGAAGGGCTTCAACAGGTTCCGTGTGCTGCGACAGTATAGATGACACAGACACCTCGGGCATCTCGGTATTGGTGCCGTGCTCGGACAACAGAACTGGCGCCGCTGGCTCTGGAAGAGCTGGCGCGACGGGCAGTGTAGACTGGAACTCAATCGCTGAGACGGTCATATCAGCCACGTATACAGGCTCGGGCTCAGGAAGTTTTGCATCAGCGGGTTCAGTCAACTCTGAGCAAATAGATGACAGTGTAACTTCCGGCGGTTCGGGAACAGCAAACGCAACGGGCTCGGTAGTAACCCCAACAGCATATGAGGTGCTGAATTCGGGTAACCTTGGTGCCACAGGAACAGTCTCTTGGAAAGAAACTGCCGAAACATCCGTTTCCATAACAGGCATTGGATGGCCGTTCGGTCTGACACCTTCAGCGTTTACAACTGTCTGTTCCTCCATCACTTCCGTCTCGATGGGAGTCCATTGTGTCCCCGCGTGTGCCAATTGCGGCGGTACCTCTACCTCGGTTGCGGTGCTGGCATCAGACATGACTGTCTTCGTGGGTGTTGTAGGCAAACCACGAGCTGCCTCATCGTTCGTATCCTGGAGGCTAGTTGTTGCTACAGTTGTGGGGACCCAAGGGTCAGTCATCACGCCAGAATCAACCATCACAGGCTTGGGGACCGCGTCGAGTATAGCCTCCGAGGGTCGTCTAGAGTCGGGGGTAGGAAGCATGCGCGGGGTGGAGGCCTGCGAGCCAGTAGCGAATCGCATAGAGGGGCCAAAGGCACCCTCATCTTCCTCTCCGTCTAGTTCCGCAAGCTCCATAAACAGACTCTGACCTTCAGAGGATGGCAAGCCTTGGGTGAAGCTCGTCGCAGGGGACTCTCGCGCACTTGATGGTCGGCTATTGGAAGCCATCGGGGCTTCTCCTGAAGGACGAATCTTTCTCATGACGCTCCTCTTCTTCCTGAGCCGATATCTAGGCGAGGACATTTGGCTAGGCGACGGGAAGCCATCGTCGTAATCCTCGTCTTCATCGCCTGAGGTAGACGCAGTACTCTGGTAGGAGGTCCTATCGCGGGCCTTCGTCAGTGTCAAGGATGACACACGTCCGCGCGGTGTCCGTTGCAGCCGCTCCTCGGTTTCCGTGAGCTCATCGGTATCAGTGCTATCGTCAGCCATGCTTTCAATTCCGGTCTGGAAAGCTTCGCTTTCGGTCGCGGTTTCTCGTTCGTTGGCCGTCTCAAAAGTGTCGTCAGCCTCGGTAGCAGTCTGGTACGCATCGCTAGGTTCGTCAGACGATTGTCCTCCTACACGACCTTGGTGCAACTTCATGGAAGGCTTGTGAGACGGGCTGGCTTCGGTAGCATTGTCTTCCCAGTCCGAATCCTGGATCTCGATTTCTGCCCTCTTCCGTCCAGCACCCAACAAATCGGGCCGAGGAGCTTTTCTGGCGGCCTCAGCCTTGGTCTTCTGGCGCTTGCTTGACGGATTAGTTGGGGCAGCAGCTTCGCGACGACGCTGTTCTATCTCGTCACGAGCTTCTTGCAGCATACGCTTGAGATCAATCTTTTCGGTCTTCTCGCGATGGATAGTGCTTTTGAGATTCTGGATCATCCGATGGGCATGACCCAGTGAACTCCGCAACGTCTCGGTTTCCAGATGGTTGTGTCGAGGAGTGAACTTGTTGGGCGACGGGGGAGGGGAGTTCTCCGGCGTGGATTGGTCTTGATCATCCGATTCATGGCCACGGGAAACCTCGCGAGTGGATTCTGCTTCGTGTTGACGAATGCGCATTGCCACGGCTCTCGCGAGTTCTTCGTTCTGCAAATTCAGCTCCTCGACTTTCTTCTGAAGAGCAAGCTTCTCGGCATCTCCAGCGTTGAGGTTCCTTCGCAGGAGATGTATCTCGGAATCGTTGGCTTTTTGCGCAGCCGTATGATCCTCGATCAATTTCGCATTGACTTGCTTCAAGTCCTCAAGCTCTCGTTCGACGGAGCCCTTCTCGGAGGCTAGTAGGCCCAGGTTGCTGTTGAGTCTACTCTCTCGATCGGCTGCCTCCTTAACTGCCGCCATCAACTCATGGGTTTTTGTCTCCAACGCCCAGTTCTCGTCCTTGTAGCGCTCTTCGCTCTCGTCCAGTGCACGGATACGCTGGGTGTAACCCTCTGCCTCCAACTCAAGCCTTGACTTTTCCAGGTTGAGGATCTTCAAAGCCTCCTCGCGCTCAGCAAGCAACGCTTGTAACTGGCGAACTTGAGCCAGGAGGGAGGTCGAAATCTCGGTCGCGAACTCGATGTCATGGACGCGGGTCGAAGATTGGTTTCGCTGTTTGCGAGACGGTACGCTCACTTTACTTGGAGAATTTGTTGCTTGCCCAGCGAACAGGGCGGGACTGATTGGTGACTGTGAAGGATAATTAGCAACCTGCGCATGCTTAGCGGTTAATACAATAACCTCGGCCTACCTTTTGCTCGTACGGGGTACCCAAGTGGCTATCCTCGCCACCCGCCATGCGTTTTGGAGCAAGGAATGCCCGCGCAGTTTCCCGGCCGATTTCATTGTACTCTTTCTCCAAGTCCGCGAGCTTTTGACGAAGATCGGGCCCAATCTGGCCCGCCTCCTGCTGCTGTTCGACTTCCTTCAACTTCTCCTCGAGCTCCTTCTGCTGCTCAATGAGAGCAGTACCGAGCTTGCTCGCCTCCTCGAGCCGACGCTCTGTCTCCGCCAGATGCGCCTCGAGGGCTCGTTTTGCCTGCGCCGGGGAGGATGCATCTAGACTGTATAGCTGGGTGTCAAAGGACGAGTACCGGTGCGACTCGCGAGGAACGGCGCCCTCCTGGGAGGCGGAAACGAAAGGGTCTTCGATTGTCGACATGTTGCCAGTTGTCCGTCGTCCACCATCGATAGGAGCGTTGGTGTTGCGGCCTGAAGAGACGGCCACTCTTGCGGCTGATCGAACAGCAGGCTGTGCCTAATCCCGTAGGGTGAGGGTACAGCCAACGTCAATAGCCCGCACACTCGTCGCTTCGTTTTCTCGTTTCCTCGTTTTAATTTTCGGTCATCCTCCGGTTATGCGACGATCTCGTTGCCGGCCTGCTTGCTTAATCTTAGTTCCTCTTCAATGCGAATGGCGATTCGGTGAGCCGACCTGCGACCCGATCTTCGCAACACCTCGGGGCTGGAAGAGTTCGCGACCGTCAAACAACAGGGGATGCGCGTTGCTGGCTGATGATTCGCTGCGGTGGCCGCGTCGATTGCCGACCGAAGAAGACAACAAAAACACTTGGTATCGGCGGAATACGATACCGGGAGCCGAAGGGTGGCGGTTACGCCTCGCTTGTGACGAAAAGACTTTGGAGCAAGGGACTGAAAACCTGCTCCCAAGGAAGCTTCGAACAACAAACGCGTACCTGTCTAGCAAACGCAGAGTAACCTTGTGCGTGTGCGACCAGATGTGCGCCTTCGGGACGAGGCAGCGGCGTGCGGGCGAAACAAGGGAGTCGCCGAGAAGCGGGCGCAGAATAAGAACCAAAGGACGGAGGGAAGGATCCAGGAAATTACGGGTACAGGCGGATGCAATGAAGCGTCCACACTATACAATCAATAGATAAGATCAAGAAAAGATAAGTAGGGATTATTAAGAGTGAAATGACGTGGTAGAAGAAAAGGAAGGACCAGGGTTCAATGCGAAAGGAAGGGTAAGTAGGGAAAGAAGAGAAAAGCAAAGTAAGAAGTTGGTAAGTCCGAAGGGGAAGTAGACACAAGGAAAAAAAGGGCAAGGGCAATTGGAAGGGGGGTTGAAGTGGTGGAAGGGGAGAGGGGAAGGGGAAAAATGAGGGAGTGATTCAAGGCAGCGAGTGCCAGTTGTTGATGTTGTTGTTGTTGGTCAACGAGACGAGGGCGACTCGTTCGTTGGGCGGGGGAAAGAGAGGGAGGGAGGGAGAGGGAAGAGAGGGACGGATGGACGAGAGTCAGTCACCCTAACCAGAATAACAACTAACTAGCCTAACTACCTCACTAACTCACTACTCACTCACTACTAATCTTGGGGTACCCGGAGTGAGTTAGGCTGTTAGCAGTAATTGTGAGGAACGAGGGGAGCCACCAGAAAGGAACTCACTAAAGAAAAGGAGCCCACCACCCCGGCAGGGGAATTAAATTATTCGGGGCACCGTTCGCCTCAGGTTCCCCTCCGGTCAGCACCGACCGTCTAACAAGTAGATAGTCTGTCTCAAGTCTCAGATTTCCCCCCTCGAGTTATGCCTGGCTCTGGCTCTGTCTTCCTCTTTGTCCCTGCTAAGTCTACTCACTCGTAAGTCGCAGCTGTGTCTGCACCAGGACGGTAAGGTCCCCTCCAAGGCTAACGGCAAATAATTCCCAGAATTATTGTGGGCAGCAGAGCCAAAACAAATGGTGTCTGAAGCATTAATTGATCGGATACGTAATGGCAATGCTGGCCGATTGGGAGGGGGGAGCCGATCTTGGGATCTGGCATTAATTGATTGTTTGCTTGACACCACACTCTCCATCCATACATATCCTCCAGAGAGGACGCCATATCGGAATAGGGACATGGGACAAGTCACGATCTACCGGGCTAGGGGTCTGTCATCAGCTAGCTTCCCTTGGAACCAGACAAGCACATTGAAGGTTATTCAGATGTCCACAAAGTACAAAGCAACCTAACCAACTACTGGAGAGAACTAAGTAAGCCCTCCCGCACACGCGTAGCGACACCCATTTTAAGTTGCGAGGGTGTGACCTGCCCGATGATCACCACCACCACCACGCTCACTGCTAAACCAGTCGGGCGGTGCCCCAAACCATCCCACCCACGGTACCCGACATTCAACAAGGAGAGGTACCCGTACCACACTTTTGCCGATTCGGTATTACTACCTTAAAGATAGTAAGTAGTCTTCAGCTGGTGAGGCGGGCTGTTTGCTAGGTTTGCATGGATGCCTCTTCTTCTTCTTCCAGTCACCTGACGCCGATCGGGAAATACTTATGGTCATGTGATTGGGACCCTACACAGAATACTCACTGGTAATTCTCGCACATGTTTACAAAGTACTAATTGAGAGAAGAAAAGCAAACGACGGACTTAGTTTCAGCTCGATGCACAGCCCCAATGCTCAAATGCTGTGTCCATTGTCACCTCGATCTGTCAATCTGCAGGTCCTGCAATGTCGCACGTAGGGGATGAACCACGTGTCAACCACATTGGATGACGCATCATTCCAGAAACTCTCTCACCGAGAAAGGGTGAGCTGTTCAATACCAGCAGTGAGGCTCTGGTATTATTTAGTTGTCAGATGAACGAAAGGACCAGAAAGAACAAGCGAAACTTTGATCCATCTGAGTTGTGCGACTTGATAGCATTGAATCTTATTGTGCGCCCCTTGCTCCTTTGTACTCGGTTGCCAAGACATTTGGACAACTGCTTCAGAAAAACAATTCTGGGATTCGAATATCTACTGGTCCTTCGCTTAAATATGTTATTCCATGGATATAACTTTACTTGGGCATTAGTTCATGCAGCGGCGCCCATGTAGTTCTGCTATATGCCACAGTGCTAGGCAGTAGTTGCATTATCCATTTCTTTCAGTAGTATGCAAGTCCTTGGATTTTGCGATAGGAAAAAGAAAGGCTGATAAAATAAGACAACTAGAATAAGGAAAGAAAATGAAAATTAAAACTAACCTGTCTTGTGCCAGAGTAGTACCTACCTTTGATATCTTATATTATTGTTAGCGATTTCGACGTTGATCTTTAAAAATCCAAAGATACTATTTCGCTGCCTCGCACTATATAAAATACGTGGGTCAAGTCATTCGGTAGTATCAACACGATTTTGCAAAGAACTTCAAGTCATAAGCCTTGGCTGATCAGAAGTAGTAAAATACCGTAATCACTTCTATTGGAAAGAGGTTTGGGGAAAAGCGAAGGGTCATTTCTCTGGGGAAGCGAGCCAGGCAACGATGTAATGAACCATGGTAATACTTATCTTTGTCCACAGCGAAGCCGAAGGAGACCGACGGATATTCTCCGCCATCGCAGCTTGTGAGCCCTTTGATATATGGATCCACACTCTCTCTTTCGAGTGGAGCTGATCTATCTCACTAATCACTATATTCTTCTTCCCCGGACCATAGTGGTACTTTGCTCCGCCTCTTCTATTGCGGTATAAGTCTGTGCGTGTGGGTAAAATGGTTTGCGTAAAGCTTTTATTAGAATGAGTTCAAGAGTGCTGGTGGAGTTTATGTCAAGCATACTGCAGTATAGTATCACAACCGTGAGTTGTTTCTCTTGGTTTGGTTAAGGTATGGATATAGTAGAAAGAACCGGACACATACTACTGATTGGAGCAGTACACAATGATTGTGCATCCAAGCAAGCTCAGGTGACTTTAGTATGCATTGGCATATTTCACGAAGAAGCTGCACCTTCTCATAGTCAGAGGTTTGAAGCTCATGTTGACTTTTGTTATATTTGCTTAAATTACCCATATTGGTGAGTATCCCCCATCCCCTCATACTGTAGTGCTCAAAACCTCTCGCGAAATACAAATCTGCGACGTCGTGACAGATGAATGATCTTTTAATAGATCCCATAATCTAGACTAATCATTTCGATAGCTTCTGGAGTTCTCGGTGAGTATGATTTTCTTTCGAATTAGTTGTAGCGTGCCTAGAAAGAACCGAAGAACCTCAATAGCATTTCTAACACGGCACAGAGGGCCTTTCAGAAAGCCTTCAAGGTCGTTTTTAGTGGAGTAATCTAGGTTAGAAAAATGGTGATTGATTCTCTTTAGGTTTGATACGTAGCAGTACTACCGTTGGCCAATACTGGCAGCTGGGCCTGGGTATGGGACTGACTAAAGTAGCATTGCCTGATAACTATATCTTCCTAATATAGTCGTATTCCTTTGATCTCCTCCCCGCACTGTTTTTGCTTGCTTGAATTGTTGATTCGGCTACTGATAATGTTCACTAGTAATCCTGGGGGCCATTTTCTTTCCTTATAAGGTCAGCTTTGCTAAGCCTTGCTGGGCGCCACATTGACTGTTAAGGCTATTTTAGGATTCTCCGAAATCGGAAAAGTACTAAGTACTTGCTTAGTATACCTCAATAGATAACCTGATAAAGAATCCGCGACACGAGAACAACAAAATATGTGAGGCAGGCAAGCCGAAAAAGAGTCAAGACACAAAATCGGCGGGGCGGCGAGATGAAGCCGAATGGAAAAAGAAATTAGATCCGAATGGATGGAGTCTGACTTTTCTTATCAGTGGATAAATCCCCGAGGCACTTGTCATTTGGCGGGCAAATATTATATCCATTCTCCAGCTGTCCACGTAAATAGATTGGTACACAGTGGGCCATAGTTCTTGTGGTGTCGCCTACCCACCGTTGCATGTCTGTTTCAGTGTCTCATGGCCATTCTCTTATCCACCATGTCGGGACGTGCGAGACAATGTTGCCGATCCGGGGTGACGTTTTGGCAACTCAACCGATAAACTTGGCAACCGTAGAACGTTGGTTTCGAACGATGGCTGTGACATGCGAACCATGGCCGATTAGCGTCGCAGCTGCGTGGCATATTGGCCAGAGATATTAGTGGTGCCCACGTACGCGCAATGGCCGCCGCGACGTCATCCCGTCAAGGGGCAAAGGTTGACCGCCACCAATGGTCCATGGTTTGCACAGCCAAGTTGAGGCATGGAAGGCGGTGATCTCAACTCTTTATACGAGGGGGGTAGAAGTTTTCCATGGGCTGTAAGATTCCAGAGAAGGAACAAGGGGTGAGCTTTTGAGAGACCATGAGAGATACGGAGAGGACTATAACCCGTAAGTTCGTAATCGTAAGTCCCAAATATCCCCAAAAGATGTCGTGCTCACACGCTAAACTTGGCGGCTGCCAAGCTTCCCCGCTAAGGCCCGCTAAGGAAGAAAGTGGTTCCCTTAAGGTTTGCGATTGTCTGAGGGGACCTCCGTCTCTCAACAGCCTATGACAGCCTCTTCCATTCCCCCTTAGTCTTCATCTTTGGGGAGCCAAACGATAGCAACAATTTTAACGCGTGGCCAGCCAGTGGGGGGTCCGGTTACGCCCCACTGCCCCCATGCCGCGCCACCCAAAAAGACAGACAGACGGATTGAAAGATTCGAAGTGCCTGAGAGCGGGCGAAACAGAAGGAGGCAGATGGGGGCTTGAATTGGAAGCATTCGATGGACCTTCCCTTCCACCACTAACTTACTCGTCTTAGTGACTATTTTAGTCCAAAGTCACTAAAAGTACCTGGTGCCTTGACTACTTCTCCTACTACTGCACCTACCGCCTTGGTAGGCAGACGAATAGGTTAATCAACGGTCCTCCAGTCTCCTTTCCTGATTACCTCGCCTTGACCCCTCTCGTCCGTCTTCTCTCTTCCTACTCTCGTCCTCTGTTTCTCGCAATATGGTTCACATATAGCCCCTCCAAGACCTACCCTCCTTTTTCGATTTTTCCTCTTTTCCTTCTTTTGGATTCTTCCTCAATAGGATTGACCCTCCTTCTAATGCTCGAAACTATCCTCTCCGTCTTTCATCTTTCTCGGTCTTTCCCGACTCAAGACATTCCTTACACCGGCCCGTGTTGTGACAACATCCACCTTCATAGTCCTATGATTTCGTCACCTGCAGAAGAGAGGAACAGATTTTAACCTGCATTACAGCGATAACGGCCTTTCGATATTGGTCCTCGTTGGCGTTTTCACCAATTCTTCTGGAAACAGTCCCGTACTGTGCAGAAAAGCTACCGTCCTTTAGCCATTCATCATGAGATGGGGCGCTCGCATAGCACTATGTGCTAGTCTAGCACTCATCTTGCCCTTATATCTCTTGAAGATCCACCTCGAGGACCTTTGCGATCAGTATCGCGCGGGCGCATATCTGATCAATTGGCTGGATTTGCGCCCGCCGATGAACACATTAAATGGCTCTCGTCCTGTCACGCCAGGGGATAAAGTGATTGTGATGGCCAGGCTACAGGAAGAGCACACTGAATGGGTCGAGCAGGAGCTACCAGAGTGAGCTTTTTTTGTCCTCCCCTTCCCAACCCAATGTTTCAGCGCACTAATAGCTTCTCTCCACAGCTGGCAACGTGCCATATACATCGTGAATCCCTCTAAAAAGGTCGCAGCTGACGGCACAACACTCACAACTCCGCTGAACAAGGGTCACGAGTCCATGGCTTATCTCACCTACCTAATTGATCACTACGACACCCTACCATCCACTATTGCTTTCCTTCATTCCCATCGCTCGGGTTTCCTGATGGCCTGGCATGTAGATGCGCCCTTACACGACAATGTCATTGCGATGAAATCCCTGCGTCTCAACTTCGTCCAAGACAATGGCTATGTCAACCTCCGCTGCAACTGGAACCCGGGGTGCAAGCAGGGCCATCGTACCAACCAGCATGTGACGGAAGAAGTCTTTGCAGAGATATTTGAGGGCACCAGCACCCCGCCTTTGAACTCCACCGGGGGCCTTACGATGCAAGATGAATACGACGAAGCTAAATACCAGAAGTTCCTGCAAATGCCGAAACAGATTGGCGCGGCGTGCTGTGCGCAATTCGCCGTGTCCCGGGAGCAGGTCCACCGACGACCACGAGAGGACTACATCAAGATCCGCCAGTGGATAATCGATACCGACAAGGATGACGCCAGTAGTGGCCGTGTCATGGAATTTCTCTGGCATGTCATATTCGGCAAAGAATCAATATAGTATGTTGCCTTTGCACACCCCCTACCTGCTGAATGCGTCCTAAATACTAACACTTCGCTACTCTCAGCTGTCCCGACGAAGAAGTCTGCTACTGTCAAGTTTATGGACAATGTTGATCATTGTACGCATACCGTTAACGTTTCTGTTTTGATAAAAAATACCCACGGCTTCTACTTGTATATATTACGATAGCTTCCTTTCGGCGCTCTCTTGCTTTGGTCTCTCTTTCTTTCTTCTTTCGACATATTCTCCCATTTTGGTGACTTCTTCGCCCGTTTAGACTCATTTTTTGTGGATAATTGCCAGCGACAATACGTTTCTAAAGGGATATTACAAACAGCGTGGCGTTATTTACAGGGACTGCTCGGTTCAAGTTGACTCAGTTGACATACTCGTCCCCTTCTGTCGGCGGCAAAGCCTGACTACTATCGTTTACGGCGAATCGGGGTGGTTATTTACGATCGTTCCAATATTAATTTGAATTCGGGATACGCGCACCTGCTGAACCGGTGAAATTTCTGGAGATAAAGGCCTCGGTGGTCTTAAGCGACTGGTTTGAAAGATAGCACTTGGACCCGATATGTCTCTCCTAATACTCTTCGTTTTGACATGTCCGGCTAGCCCAGCGAATTCGATTTTTTATAACTGTACATCGCCTAAAATACGTGTCCATTACGTTTCGCTGAAGAACGAATACCGCGACATCCAACCCATCATTAATTACAAGCTCATGTCCTCAGGCCATGAACGCCGAACCCGAGATAAGACACCCACATAACGACATCCACCAACAGAAGCGCACCAGCGAATCCAACAATCCCGCCATGTCACTGCTCCAAGAACTCCTCTACCCGCTCAATAAGATCCGCCTTCTTACCGGCATTTGAGCGTCCATTGGAAGTCAAGAAGTCCTTGAGGATAGCGACCGTAAGCTAGAAAACCGCCGGTTAATACGATGTCACATTTGCCATCACGAGGACGTGTAGAAAGCTTATGGTGGCTTACCTTGGATAGCGTTCCCTTCTTGTGATGCCTGCGGACTTCCTCCTCTAGGCTTCCGGAGTCTTCCTCAACCTTGATCTTTTTCGATGGCTTGGAGTCCTCGGTTTCGCTTGCTCGGTCTTTTGATCCTCGTTTCACGAGGGTACTGGTTGGGCGAGGGGCCGCTGCTGAGGTTTTGGCGTATTGCTTTTCGAGTTCGTCGGCCCAGGATAATACGTAGTCACCGACGCGCTGCGGCGCAATTGTCAGTAAGTTGAATGCGCGGAGGGTTGTTTCTTGGGTGTGGTGGTTTTACCTTGTCGATTTGGCGGTACTTAGGGATGGTTTTGTCTTCTGGTTTTTCAGGGAGATCTTCGTCTAATGCGAGAGCTTGTAGGATGCGGTAATGCCATTGAAGGGCTGATCACGGGCTGTCAGCTTCTCGTTCACGGTATACGAGCAATGCAAGACAGAAGTGACTTACATGGATTGGGGTATTTGAGAGGCTCGTACACTCCCTTCGGCAGCTGCAGTTGCTGGACGACCACGCGCATCTGATCAATCAATGACTCCGGGGCGACATTCAACGTTGTTTCGGGGTTCTGCCGGATATCGTCTGCGAAGGGGAGGGGAAGAATCCACATGCCAGGAGGGTATTTTTGTACGCCATTCTCATCAAGCTTTTCTTCGCCTGCGATCATAGCGGCGAGAACGGGGCCAGCACCCTTGCGTGCAATGAACCAGACGAGTGCCATCTTCTTGGAACGCAAAAGAGTCTGATGCAATGCGGAAAATACTCGCGAGGAGCCTACATAGTCTTCCTCGGATGGATAGATAAAATATGGGTGCTTGACGTTTGCCCAGAATGGAAGCGCAGTGATAGGCTTGAACCCAATAACCCGGATTACTGGCTCACCGAAATCCCTAAGCGCCTTCTGCTCATCAGGCGAAAAGGTTACTTGGTCGCCACCGAACTTATATGCCTTTCTGATCTCCCATTTCTCGACAGTCCGGCCAGTATCATCTGCGGAGTGGGAAGTCACTCCTTTCGCGACCACAGGCTTCTCGCCGTTCAGCCAGATGAAGGAGTTTCTAGCGGGCGCTTGCCTTCGTAAGAGTATATAGCCCGATACCGAGATTCTGAAGTCTGGGCCAAGCTCTAAAGGCATGTTCGAAAAATGAGTGCGACGCGGAACCGTTCTCGAATTAATACTGGACAGAAGCGTGTTGAGGAGTGAAATCCCGTCCCCGGTCGCAGTCGCCGCTTTTGAATCAGATTGGAGATATGCAGGCGCCTCTGGATCGCTGGGCGACGACTTGTAGATAATATCCTTTGTATCAGTAGTGAGTATCGACCCCTGCCACTTTGCTATAGAGTATGATAGCTTACGTCATAGAACTTGCTGTTCTTGAACTCATGCTCAGGGCGTGAGATCGGAAACAGCTCAATTGTGACACCAAGATCGTAAAGATCCTTAGCACGTACAGTCGCCGCTGACCGCAGGGTTTTATCATCACCATGGGGGTTGTCATTGTCGGTTATGATGAACAAACGCCGGGAGAGGAAATTTGGCGCTCTGGATGTGAATATCTGGTTGGCGCAAAACAGGACGTTTGCCATAGAGACCTGCTCTTTCGCTGGAGATAGAACCTCCCTTGACTCTCCTTCATCATCTACCAGTGCTCGAAGTTCTTTGACCTCATGAGCCGAAGGAACATCCAGATCAGTGAAGAGGTAGCAGTTGGGGTAGGACAGGTCTCCCCGACTGTCTTCATCTTCTTCAAAGAACTTGGACGCCTGGGTCCCGAACAGCAAAACACCCATCATGTCTTGTGGATTTGATATGATTCGTTGTTGCATGAAGTGATAGGCGCATTTGAGCGCGGCCGTGGTGGGTGATTCTTGGGTGTGTTTCTTAGGATCTGCTGAGGGGCGAGGCGTCAACATGGAATCGCTGACATCGATTGCGAAGAGGACCGCATCTTTGACTGGTTTGTAGCTCTGATCTTATTGTCAGTTCCAGAGTTCCAGTCCAAGTTCATGGGTAAATTTGCGTACAGTCTCATCAATCTCCTCTTCTTCCTCGGCCGCCTCATCTTCCCGATGTGGGTTACCGTCCGCCATAGTAGAATGTTGTGGAATCGTTTAAAGCATTCAAGATATTATCGAAATTGAAAGAGGGAAGTATAAAGGTTAAGACAACTTGAATCGTACCCAGGAACAAGTGGGGCTGTTGTGTCTGCCTGTTTGGCCTCTGCTGCCTGCAGCCGAGGGGAGATCTATATCGTCACTGGATCCGGTCGCGATGGACGCGATCAAACCGGTGGGCAGAAAGACGCGGGGAGACACGAACATCATGTGATGTCCGCCCGGTAATTGATGACGCTAGCTGGCCGGTCATTGGCTGTCGGGAGTCGGAGTTGGTCGTGGTCTCGGTGCTCCGTCATCAAGCCGTTCTGGACTTTTCAGCTTCCAGAAGGCCTTGCGCTGTTGTATATACCCACTACCTGTTCTTGCCACTCGTCTATCTTTTAAGTATTGAATGCGGGCTCGAATAGTTCATCTGCTTGCGCGATACGAACGGTCTTTTCTTATACCCCCATTGACTAGGTCAACCGAAATCAGTACAATTACCTGTCATGGCTCTCCGCCGCCCGTTTACCCTTCCCCGGCAATTGCTGCGACCGGCTTCTCGCACCCTGTTCGGATACAAGCAAGAACAAAGATGTGGGCTGGCGACAACAGTGCCTCCGGTTACCCAGGATGCAACAGGCTCTAAGGGCCCTACAGCCATGGTCTTCCTGAACATGGGAGGGCCCTCGACGACAGACGAAGTAGAGGATTTCCTCAGCCGGCTCTTTGTACGTCTCCGACTATGGCAAGCTGTCATTTTGGTTGCTCCGTTTCTAACATTCTACTTCTATTCAAGGCCGACGGCGATTTGATTCCTCTTGGCAAGTTCCAGCATTACCTCGGGCCTCTTATTTCGAAACGACGCACACCCAAGATCCAAAAACAGTATGCGGACATCGGCGGAGGCTCACCCATAAGAAAATGGTCGGAATACCAATGCGAGGAAATGTGCAAGCTGCTGGACAAGATCAACCCGGAGACTGCGCCTCACAAGCCGTACGTTGCCTTCCGCTACGCCAACCCGCTGACGGAACAAATGTACACACAATTGCTGGAAGATGGTTTTGGCAATGGGAAGGGCGGTCGTGCGGTCGCGTTCTCACAGTACCCCCAGTATTCCTGTTCTACTACGGGTAGCTCTCTGAATGAGCTGTGGAAATGGAGGAATCGGCTGGAGGGCAAGCGAGCAAACGGAAACGTGGACACTTCCGGAGCTATCCAGTGGAGCGTTATCGACAGATGGCCTACGCACCCTGGCCTTGTGGAGGCGTTTGCGAGAAACATTGAGGATCAACTCAAAACCTATCCGGAGGATAAGAGAAACGGAGTGGTTCTCTTGTTCTCGGCCCACAGTTTGCCCATGAGTGTTGTGAACAGAGGTGAGTCTCAAGGGCCTTGGTGACCAACTCCCGGTAGCTAACCGACAACTTCTCCTTTAGGTGATCCATACCCGGCCGAGGTTGCGGCAACAGTGCATGCGGTGATGCAAAGGCTCAATTTTAGCAACCCTTACCGCCTCTGCTGGCAGTCTCAGGTCGGACCAAGGGCTTGGCTGGGAGCGCAGACAAGCGATACCGTCCAAGAGTATGTGAAGCGTGGACAGACCGACATTGTCCTCGTACCGATCGCCTTCACCAGCGACCACATTGAGACTCTGTATGAGCTGGATCTCGAAGTCATGGAAGAGGCGAATTCCCCGGGCGTCAAGCGGGCCGAAAGTCTGAACGGCAGCCCCGTATTCATCCAGGCCCTTGCAGACCTTGCTCAAGAACACTTGCGCAAGGGTGAGAAATGCTCGCTCCAAATGACGCTGCGCTGTCAAGGCTGCCGGAGTGAGAGGTGCTTGGAGCAAAAGAAGTTCTTCGCCGGTGAAGAGGGAGCATCTTTGGTAGTATAGATTGCTAGGAACTAAGATTTTTCATTTCTTTGTCAGAGGGTTTGTCGTTTGATGTGTGTATGTGAAGGCGTTTTGTGTACGATAGTCTTGAGTGTGTCTATACAAGCAACAAGCTACAATGTATTCCGGTTTACGATTTCGGCAAATTCCTCACGTGGGCGAAGTGTCTCCCTCTAGTTGTTTTGGCGGGCTGCGATAGGGTGCATCACCCAAAAGCAGACAGCAGCAGGGTCACCACTTACCAGAGTATCTTATGTGTGTGTGTGTGTGTGTGTGTGTGTGTTGACTCCTGGCAGCGGCCTATCGAGAACTTCTAGAATTGGGCATGGGGGACAGTTCGAACCTACTGGTCGACAGCGTGGAGTGATGTAAGTGGCCCGAGGCGGCGGGGAGTCCAGAGCGTTATCGCCGAGCTGGCTTGCCTTGCTTCTGAGACTGCATGCTTGAACCGTGAAACAACTTCAACAATCACACACCAGTCATGGCTATCCTAGCCTGAATTTCTAGAATCACGTCACCACTATCTAACTAAAGATACAACACTGCGCTGGCATGTGTCCAGTCTAACACTTGCTGACCTGTCATTTGTTTCATGCCGATTGATAAGCGACCTGCTCGGAGTTTAACCAACAAACGGATTGTCCATCTTTTATCTTAGTCCTTCCTTGCCGGCTCCCTTCGCTCCCCCCGCCCGGTTATTAAATGTTCTGAGCCCACCCCAGGTATTATTTTGTTCCAACTTCGGAGCAAGCAAATGTAGGCAACAGTCTATCTGCCATACCCATTATTCCTGCTCCTGGTGCGAAACGGCTCGCGCAATGTCCACAATCAGGGGCGACGCATCGCCTGCTGCGCATGCCGAGGTTGGTTCGGGACTACAAGCCGGACTGGACGCCCCTGCGCCAATTGATGCTGGACTTGAGACTTGGGAAGACACCCATGAGCGAACCCCATTATTGCAACAAGACAACGAAGAATCCCAACCGGAGCCTGATTATCAGGCCGGCCCACCAGATGATGCTCCCACCGATCAAAAAGGTCTTTGGCAGACATGGAGAAGGCCAAGCGTGAGTGCCTCCATCTTCGATGGACAACATTCGGCCCCGCGACTTCTAACATGCAACAGGTCCTGTGGATTCTTCCGTTTCTTGTCATTTATATGCTAGGATTCGGCGGCACTGCAGTGCCCAAGATTAACCTGATGATGTCTCTCATTTGCAGAGACTATATGGCCAGAAAAGCGACTCAGGATCCAGGTTTCACGTATTTGCCTGTCATCATTGGGAATAAGAATTCCCAGTGTCAGACACCCGAAGTTCAGTCATTACTTGCTCAGTTCCAGTTGTATTTCAATCTCCTGGCCGGGATACTATCTGCGCTAGCATGCCCCCGACTGGGTCACCTATCAGATCGCTACGGTAGGACAAAGATACTGGCCCTTAGCGCATTGGGGACCGTTTTAGCGGAAGCTATCTTCGTCTTTGTCGCAGCTAAGCCAGACCTTGTATCTGTGAATGTGCTTCTAGTGGCTGCCATTGTCGATGGCGTCTGTGGTTCTTTCACCACCATCATGGCGCTGACAATGTCGTATGCCTCCGACTGCACCATCCCATCGAAGCGGAGTGCGGGATTCGGGTATGTGTACGGCTCTCTTTTCGCCGGAGTTGCAGCCGGGCCTCTGCTGGCGGCTATCTTGATCAAGCAATCAGGCCAGGCACTGAGTACCTTTGAGGCCTCGTTGGCCATGCATGCGCTCTACCTCATTGCGCTCATGACCATCATCCCGGAATCATTATCAACAGAGCGTCAGCAGCAAGCGCGGGACAGTCACCGAAGAAAAGTCGTCGACGAAGGGGAGGCTGGCTGGCTGAGCCTGGAGAACCTCAACCCCAAAAGGCTAATTACACCTTTATCTGTTTTGCTACCGCCAGTAGGACGTCCCAGCACGCTTTTCCCTAATCGTCACGGCGCGAGTCCGGCCTTGCGCAGAAATATTATTCTTCTTACAGCGATAGATACTATTGCATTTGGGGTCGCATTGGGAACCGCTCAAGTGGTCATTATTTATGCCGAGTACAAATTCGACTGGGGCAATGTGGAATCAAGCCTCTTCATTTCAATCATCAGCATCGCCCGAGTCGTGAACCTTTTTGTTGTATATCCGATTATCACCGCAATCTTCCGTGAACCACACAAACCAGATCACATCGTTCCCGGCTCCAGCACCTGCGAAGTTGTTCTTATACGACTTTCTCTCTTATTAGACATGGCTGGCTATGTGGGATATGCAATGTCAAATCAGGGTTCCCTCATGGTATTCTCGGGAATAGTCACAGCGCTTGGCGGCATGGGGATACCGACAATGCAATCATCTCTCACGAAACATGTCCCTCGGGAACGGTTAGGTCAGATCCTTGGAGCGAAAGGACTCTTGCATGCGCTGGCTCGAGTGATTGCGCCAACCGCTTGCAGTCTCCTTTACAGCCTGACGGTTGGAAAATTCACTCCAGCGGTATTTGTTGTGCTGGGGGCCTTGTTCTTGCTCACCTTCTGTAGCAGTTTTTACATTAAACCACATGGTAGGTGACCCTCCTTTCTCATTGTCTAGGAATGTCTGCTAACGAGTCGGTATTTGGCAGTTACTCTTGACGAGTCTTACCCAAGTAGTCCTCGAGGTGAGGCTAATGAAGAAGGCTTTGTGGCGGATTCTATTCTCTAGTGATGCTAGAAGTGGAGCCTAGCAGTTACTGTACTGCATGCGACCGCTACTATGGGTCACGGTTAGACTGATCTTCGTGACAATTGGCGTATCGATTTGTTAGACTATATATGGGATTGGATTTGATACCAAGTGACACGTCAAAGGACCATTGTAGTGTTGTTCACAGCACCGAATATTAGTAGTAGTAGTTGAGTCGAGAAAAGGGCGGGTAAAGAATGTTAGTAAGACGAGTGGGCACACCGGGAAAAGACCGGATGCGGTACGGCGGGCGGTAGCGACCAATTCGACCAAGCTGGTGCAAACTTTCCGACCGACGAGCTCCGAGTCCCTCCTACTCCATCATAGAACTCCAATTGACCCAATTGACCGGCCGGCGCGGGGTTCCTGACGGTTCCTCTGTCATTGAATCCTCGTAGCCTTCTTTTTCACTTAATGATTTAGTGGTGATTCGACCAAGCCCGCTGTCAGCGGTGCACAAGGTTAACCACCATGGTCTCCAAACCCACCAACGGCACACCAGCTGTGCCCTCACGAAATGCCCTACGAGTGCTCCGTCGATTAGCTCTTGCAGGATCAACTGTGGGAAGCTTCTGTACGGTTGCAGCTATTACCTACGACGTCCACCGTCGGGTGCGCGTCGCGGAACGAATTGTCGAGAACAAGCGGGCCCTGCAAACCTCAGCGCCGAACTACGATGCAACGTCTGCAGCAAGGAGACTGGCACGTATGATGGAGGCGGCTGAGGCGGGAGAGTTTATGGGTCTGGAATCTCTCAAGGAGCAAGACCGGAAGTTCAGAGAAGCGCAAGCTGTCCCGGCTAGGGGAGACGTTCATAATAACGACTTGAGCTGGGATGTTCAGCTGCAAGACCAACAACCTGCCGCCCCTGCTGAGTCTTACATGGATATTACACGCTCAAAGTTGATTGACTCCTTTACTCCCGGACAAGTACCAGCGAAACCGACCTCAGCTCCCGATCTCCCTCCGAACCTAACACGGTCGACCGATGCACTGGACCGAGCAAAATCCGCCCTTGCACATGCGAACCAAAGAACAGTCGAAGATCATGAGAAGCAAACAGATGATGCAGCTCAATGGCATGATTCAGTCACGGAAGAAATGCAAAAGTTTCTCCACCACGGTCGGCCTATCGATGCTGCCCACTTGTTTTTGGACGCTCACCCTGCGACGGTGAGCGGCATATCTACAGATAGACGGGAAGTTACGGTCAAGACATTCTATGCCAATTGCAAGGAAGAGAACGTTATGGTTGCGAGGAACATCTTCGAACGCCTAGAAGACGTGGATAAGGTGTCTCCTGGCATGTGGAAAGTTTTGATGTTCGCGCTAGCGAGAAAGGGGAGCATCGAATCCGTCGCCACTATATTCACTCGATACATGCACAAATTCAGAGTTCCCCCCGAAATGGTTGATATCGTGCTCCGATGCCTGCTAGAGTCTCATCGACTTACCACGGCGAAATGGTTTCTTCTTAGAAATCTTGAGGTTGATCGTGGCTGTGGCCTATGCGGCGCCTATCTTGCAGGGCTTTGGAAAAAGACAAGGAGTATCGAGCTTCTAAACGGGCAATTGAAGAAAATATTGACAATACTTCCTCGCTTGGGAAAGGAACCCACCGACAAGCTCTTCAACCCCGTGATCAAAGCATACGTGGAATTTGGTCGGCTGGCTGATGCAGAAGCTCTGGTCAAAGACATGACGACTAAGTACGGCATTCCCCTTCGTTGCCGAACAAAAGGTCTTTTGGTATTTGGCAGGGCTTTGGCCTGTGACTGGGAGGGCGTGGACGCTGGGCTACAGCAGATGCATGAGCTCAAGTTGACTTCGAGGAAGTACGACTTTACGCCGATATTTGACCGTATCTTCCTTGAATACTGGGTATCGCATTCGGGTGATGAAATTCGCGACTTTGTCTATCGTTACATCGAAAAGTTCCAAATGGTTCCCGATAAAATTCTTTACAAGCACATACTGGAGGCATTTGTGGAAAAGGGTGATAAGGAAATGGTTGATGAATTTGTGCGGTTCGCACGTGAGCGCCGTTGGCCGAACTACATCAATGAGCAGGAGTTCTTGGAAATGCTTCGAAAACGTCGTCACGCTCTTGAGGAAGCACCGGTGGGATTCTGGCAGATGCTGCAGGCAGCTCGGATGAAATATGGGCAAGCTGCCACATCACAACAAGTGCTCGGATATGACCAGCGATCATTCCCACTTGCGGAAGTCAACCTGATGCCGTACACGCAGGACCCGTTATCGTGGTATCAGCGAACGCTGCAGCACATGACACCCTCGAGACCAGTCGACCAATACCAAAAGCTTCACAAGCAGATGTCTCATTACATGCATGTCGGTAAGCTGACGGAGGCGTTGAAGTGCTATGAAAATGCTAGGAACGCTCGGTTCCAGTTCAAGCAGTTGCATGTTGAACTTGCAGTCATTTGTACGCTGCTCGAAGAGGGTGTCGGTGCTGCTCGAGCTTTGATCGACTCTGAGTGGAAAAATATACGCCACCTGGTTCGATTCTTCCCTCAGTTCTTCCGTCAGATCATGGATGTTGATTCCAAAGCCGAAGGTCAGCTGATCAATATGGCCGTGCTTCGCTTCTACGAGCTGTGCTGGTCAAACAAGAAGATGACAGTCAAGCACCACATCACGGTGGCAACCAGCAGAAGGCTGATTGCACTGCAGAAGCCTGAGTTAGCTGTTGATCTGTTGGCCACCGTCTACATGTCCCGCTTCCGGCACTCGTTAGCATATGACGGTGTTTGCATGAAAATGTTTATACGTGCATTTGCAGCAACTGGGAATATGCATGGCATGCGGTGGTGCATCCTGACCGCTCTGGCCCGAGGAAGCGCACTGAATCGTGACTTTGTAATCGAAGCCCGCCGGGTCACTGGAAACCTGCATCGTCAGCTAAGCTCAGCTGAAGGGTCGAAGGATGTGTCTCGGGACATGGAGAAGGCAGAATATCTGTCCCATGCTGTTGAACTACTGGAGAAGAAGAGCCAAGGCGATCCCCAGCTTTGGCAGCTAAAGACCAATCCGACGGTGAAAAAGGCCGGTCGCCGGCTGCTAAAGCGCCCTCTCGATGAAAGGCGTCTGTACAAGAAGGCCCATCTTCACGAGACTATCGAGGGTTGGGATGAGGAATATGAGTTGGAGGCCGTGCTAGGCCGCATTGACATCGATCCGAAATCAATTGCACTTCGATGGAGCGAGAAGCACTGTCTGGGGCAGATTCGTGAAATTGACGATCTGCTGTGAGTTTGAGATGGCATTTGTTCTATATCACTTTCACTCTTGTTGTATTATGTTTGTCTTTCCGGCTGTGTGTTTGTGTATATATCCCATACTGCCATGTTCAATACTGTGTATACTATTTGTGATCTTCTGCAATCTGCATTTAGTTGGATGCCAAATAGAAGTTGGCTCAAAAATTTTGTCTCGTAATATCCCGCCGAATGCTCAGTGCAAAGGTTAATAAGCTTCCTAGAGGTGCAGATTCAGATTAACCAGTCACTCAGGTTTGCAAGTTACATTCAAAAACTTAATGCTGTCCGCGTAGAGTCGCAACGATATCAGCAGAATAGATTTACACACATTAACTTAGCATTCTCACTAGTGTGGACTAAATTTAGGTGCAGGCCCGCGTTCTGTCATGATTCCGGTTTCACTTTCTCTTGGCTTCGTATTTGATATTGGACTGTTCATCAGCACCTCAATCTTCTGGCCCGTCATTTCTGAGTGGCCACAGTATTCAAAAACCATGCCTGCCAGTTCCGAGATAGATATTCGAACATCATAACACAAGAGCAGTATAGCAATTAATGACGCTACACAATCACGCCTTTTCTTGGAGCTATCCAGTATGACATCCATCAGGGGTTAAAAATAGCTTCAGAATCATGCTAGTATGGACCCTAGTGGGTCGAACCTGGCGACCAAGAAACCTGGCCATGAAGCTATTTATTTCGCCTTCCGCCATCTATAACACGGACCACGCCCTTTGAATGACATGCTAAAAGCCTAATAATAAAACCCCGAGCCTGTCCCCTAGCTACAAGACTCCAACCCTCATCATGGCTCAGAACATCTTGACTGGCGCCTGCCTCTGCAGGAATATCGCATATCGCATTACTTTGCCAGACCCAGAGACGTACCCTAAGGTACTGTTGTACATTCTTAACTAGTTACAATTGCTCAAACAACTAAGTCGGTCACTGACAAATACCAGCTCATCATCTGCCACTGCACCAACTGCAAACGCTATACCGGCTCCGGCTTTTCCGCCAACATCATTGTCCCACAGACCAATTTCGAGTATACCAAGGGTACACCCAAGTTGTATACAGACAGTAGCAAAAGGGGCGTGCAGGTATTACGCGAGTTCTGTCCTGATTGCGGAACTCCGTTTACCTCACGGTCGAGCGATGATGAGGAGGTTGTTGCAGTGAAGTCGGGGACGCTTGATGATGAGCATCGGCTTAAGTGCTCGGAGTTGGAAATGGAGATTTATTATCATCGGAAGGATGGGTGGGTGGGTGGGCTGGGGGGCGAGGGGGTAAAGAGGGTTGATGGTAGTATGGAGAGTTAGTAGAGAGAGGATGAAGGGTGTTGAGGATTGTAGATGGACAGAACGATGCTGGTGGTAAACATAATGAGTTGTGGCCTCTTCGCCTTATGAGGAAGCTAGCATACTATCGGCCTCGTTACTATATATTGTATAACTGCTTGGTAGTCTCTCATTCTACTGACGAGCTTGGCTCCTTATCAAGCTTTGGCTTCCTTAAACATTAGCACTCCAGAGTACTTCGGTACTACAGATTAGGAAGGAAAGTATAGTTGCTTGTCCTTGGTAAGCAGGTAGATAGACAAGGGAATTGAATAGATCAGGAGGGTTTTGTGACCTTTTCGAGCCGAGACACATAAACATGGCTGGCATCAACGAACACACCAGGTAAGATTGTATCATTGCAATGGAGGGATGATAGACGCTACTGGCCATGAGTGCATCTTGGACTATTCTTCCTCCACAGACAGGTGAAATGGCCGTAATTCTTGAAACCGTGCTCGAACTCTCTCCATAATATCAACGATGGCTGGATCTTCCTCAACGATCTCCAATTGTACGCTAAATTGATACATGGAAAGAACTTGGTCGATAATCCGATCAGCTTTCCATTTCAGGATGGACAATGGTCTTTCGTCTGGGTCCACGTGCCGGTGTGCGCTTCGTGCCGATTTATTTGTCTCTTTCCAAAAGCATTGCTCACCCGCTGAGTTATTTGGCCTTGGAATTCTTTCGGGCCCGGACACAGCACGCCTACTAGGCCGATGATAATTCGAGAGATCGGCCTGCGTAGATTCAAGAAGCGCCCCGTCTGCAGTTAGACTCATGACCGGCTCAGTGAATTGCTCGTCGGGAAATAAAACACAGTCTTCGAGAAGCTCTGGAACCGTTGTGGTGTCCATGCTCATCTCAGGCCCTCCAACTATAACTTGGTCAAGTTCACTGGGGGCACGGGAGCTCAAGGTCGAGGAAGCGCGGCCATCCGGACAGCCAAGCCCGCGGGAATGTTTGTCGTTATCTTTTTGCTTTAAGCGCTCCCCTAGTGACACATTGAGAAAGTGGGGGACATAAGCAGAGTAAGAAGAGTAGCAAAAGGCGATCTAAGATGCCTAGAAAAGCACTCACGTCGTTTGCGTTGCGACAGCCGGTTCTGGATCCGCCGCCGATCTTTGATATCGATGATCCCGTGTAGGTTGTCTTCCATGTTCATGAGAGGGGGGAGATCCTTTTCGTGTGGGGGAAGCGAAATACGGCTCTTTCCTTTTAATCATTTCTTGGCTAGTTGGTTTCCCCTCCCAGTAAATTGTACTAGTGGTGCTAGATGGGAAGCTAATGCACGAGATGAGGCTGTGAGCACCAAGCTCACCATTCAAGAAGCTCTTTCCTTCCGATCACGAATTCTTATCTTCGGAAAAATTAAATTAGTTCCTGAGATCGTTGATAAGAGAGTTCAGGTTATAAACGAAGTGAAGTGTGAAAGGTACGAACTACAATTAAGGAATAGAAATCACCGGAACCATGTCTCCTAGGTAGTAGAATAATATCGAAGCGTAGTATTGAGGTAGAAGTCACTACTCATCTCGCCACTATCCTGTCCTCATCCTGGTCACCCAATTACCCCTGTCATTGATATCATAGTGCTCTTACTCCAAAACACATGCGCCCATGCCCGCCAGTGCGAATGGCACAGTGCGTGCCCTTCCCAATCCTGGTCTGAACCTCGGATCTTACTGCCCATAGACAAGCCCTTTGATAGAAAATGAAAATCATGAGCACAAAGAGTGACCAGAATATACATTAGTCTGTTATGCATCCGCCCAATCCGACCTCAAAAACCGAATGGGGCCGCTCTGAATCCAGTGGATTTGCTCCCCGTAGCCGGTCCAGTAAGTGCTCAGTGCAATGGTGCACATGGCCTAACCCGATATCTAGCACCGGCCCTGTAGAGGCCATGCGTGCCAGCCGGCGCCATAGGAAAATGCAGTGCCCTAAATGCTCCTCCTGGGGAGAGTGAGTTGGCACCCCCACCCTCTCCGACAAGGCTTGTTCGTCGGCGATACGCTCGTTCCCTTCTCGGTCGGCAAAGAATGGCCAGCTGCCAAATGCTCGCTCCGAGCCTTCGAGCCAGTTGCGAAATTCGGCCAAAGTCTCCTGCTCAATGCAGGAGGCGGGTAACCAGGCGTATGTTACAAGATCGAATTGACAACCGCGAGACCTTGCAACAGTGGTACTGTTTCCACAATGCTGGTACTTTGGGGAGGGTGCATTTGTGACTTGAAATCCTCTTGAGATGTATGAGGGTAGGAAGGCAAGTACAATGATTATAGAGAGAGACAGCACTGTGGCCAAGAATAGAGCCCATTTTGTCCGCCACCATGGTATAAATGCTTTTCGTGACGAGGCATCCGTGGCATGATCCTCGTCGATGGGCAGGTGTCGGTATTCTGATTCACAGATCATACCCTTCCCTAACACAGAGGAGAACCAAGCCATGGCTTGCAACCAATCCAGGGGACCAGTGAAGCATTTCCTGCTTCATAGGATATGGAATGTGGCCTAATGAATATGTTCCCTTGCAATATCGTTCCCATCTGACACCTCATGACACCTCATGACACCTCTGACACCTCTGACACCTCTGACACCTCTGACATGATAGCTCGGGCAGCCCTATCATGGTGTGCATTAATTTCTTGCACAAAATCAATCGCGCTTGAGACGGGGGACTGTGTTGTGGCAGTTCAAAATGGCATGGAAATTGTCCAAGTTTGAGACGCAGGAAGGATCTCCTAGTGAGCCGCTCCTGCTTGAGAATGAAATTATACAGTCCTCTCCGAAACGGAACAGTGTGAGGAATAGGGCCCATATAGCCCTGTTGGTGGCAGTGAGCATTGTTTCCTTCACTATAGGATACTGGATACATGCAGCACCGCATTGGCAAACCCGGGACGCATGTCGACATCGTCGCCCCTCTGATATAGAATGGAGTACGTATTTGCAGATGCCAGGCAAAATTGTGAGACATTTCTATACAGATGTATGCTAACGTAAACAGCATCTAAGCCTGCTGTAATCCCTTGGTCCTCCTTGCGGTTGAATGGAACACTGTACGCACAGAATAAGTTTCGAGGAGAGCCCAGTGCACAGTTGGATAGCGAATGGGATCGGTTCACAACAAATGGTGAGCCCCTCAAGAACGGCGTGAGAAGCGTTAAGAAGCCTCCGCTAGTGACAGAGTGAATATAGCTTGGATGGTGGAGACTGCAGTCGTACTGAATATTTCAATGGACGAAGTTCGCCAGTCGTCAAACGATGACTCCGTGGAGACACTCGTTCGGTTAGACCCTGAGAATGGGGAAGGTTATATGGGTTCGCTGGAGCTATTTCACCAGCTACATTGTCTAGTAAGTTCAAATAAGCCAATTATCACTGTAGCTCCTGATTAACGACTGAAGAATATTCTTCGGAAGTGGACTTATCTGGACTTTTACCAACATACGGATCCTTTTTTCATGAGTACATCCAGTCACAGACGTGAACATACGGGTTAGTAAAAACTCCCGAAATTCCATTCCTCTCCCCTCTCCCTTATCCTCCTGACCCTGATTACTCGGTAGACCACTGTATCGATATTATCCGGCAGGTATTGATGTGCAACGGTGACATGGGCTTAATCATGTTCCACTGGGTTCAGGGAATGGCGGTCCCAACTCCAGACTTCAGCACTATGGTAAGTCAACTCGCTAACCCATGATTACGTTGGTTCTAAGTTTCCAGCATTCGTGTCGCGACCCTGAGGCCATACTGCAATGGGCCATCGAAAGACAGGCTCCTATAAACCGTCCGATCGAGCGGATCCCAGGACAGCAAAATCTGAGTTCTCTGCCATGAATGCTACAGATTTCTTGCCTATGGTTGGATATATCTACTTCTCCACGGCCGTAAATCCACATACAGATAATGCAATATTATAGATCATGCAATCTTATGTTATTGAGACATTCACTGCAGCCAGGCAGGTATCAACTGATCCTTCGCCATCTCTATTTCCTACCAGCTCTTTCACCCCCCACCCAACCATCCTTTTGAGATCAGATTGATCGAATACATATCTTTGGCCCTCCGTATTTGCATATATGAAGTCGTGCCTTCTCTTGTTTACTGCGCTTTCGAAGATCATGGCTCGCGCGTCAACGTCATTAATTCCGTTGTTGTATGAGCTACTATTAGATACCGGCGTCATGTCATGGCGTTTATGGTTAAATCTCTGTGGCGATGGCCTAACTGGTGGATCTAAAATTCTTCCATGTGCGATGCCTGTACTGTACTGGCTGTGTGTATATCGGTCTTTGCAAATTCGGACGCAGCATCCTCCAACACGCCAGAACATGTCTTGCTTGATAAGAAGAATGCATCATTACTAACAACAAAGAATACAGCAGCTAAGCATGACCGTCTTCTTATGTGCGAAGTATCACGTGGGTAATATCCAGGTCCTTATACGTGTCCTTTATTGTTTCTCTTCCATGATGTTATTCGCCATCGCCAGCATGATCTGTTCATGAATACCAGACAACACTGCTATTTTATTCGAGTGGGATGGGAGAATAAAAGATGATCACAAGACGCATTTTACTCACCGGGCCAACTCTGGCAGTCAGATGATGGTTCCAAACAGGTGTCATCAAGGTCATGACAAGGGAGTGTCATAGTATCATGTCGCTCAGTGTGGAACCGTAATCGTGATGACATTAGTGCTGACAATGTCATCCTTACAACTGTCTGTCAGCAATGAAAATGATATTACTCTTCCTTGGCAACATATATGTTAACTCGAGCAAGGCACGAAAGAAAAAAGAGCGAAGAAGACTTGCTATTAGTATCTGCACTTAACACCTCAACGGTCAAATCTCCATTCCAACCAGAGATCTTAACCTCCTAAGCCATCAAAATGAAGGCCGTGTCTCTCGGTGTGATTCTTGTGACTGCGGCGGCGCAGATTGCCTCTGCTCTCCCTGCCCCAGCCTCCAAAAACGTGATGGATTACCTTCCTATCAAGCCCTTAGGGCTGTTTTTCAAGATGAGATACTGACTTAGGACAGGCTCGTGATGAAGACACCAAGGACTTCCCCGTGCAGTACTGGGACAAGCGTGAGGAAGCCACCAAGGACTT